TTATTCCACCTGTATTAGTGTCATCCCACCTGTATTCCACCTGTATACTCCCACCTGTATTAGTGTCATCCCACCTGTATGTTATTCCACCTGTGTTAGTGTCATCCCACCTGTATGTTATTCCACCTGTATTAGTGTCATCCCACCTGTATGTTATTCCTCCTGTATTAGTGTAATCCCACCTGTATGTTATTCCACCTGTATTAGTGTCATCCCACCTGAATGTTATTCCTCCTGTACTAGTGTCATCCCACCTGTATGTTATTCCACCTGTATTAGTGTCATCCCACCTGTATGTTATTCCACCTGTATTAGTGTCATCCCACCTGTGTTATTCCACCTGTTATGTCATCCACCTGTGTTATTCCACCTGTATTAGTGTCATCCCACCTGTATGTTATTCCACCTGTATTAGTGTCATCCCACCTGTATGTTATTCCACCTGTATTAGTGTCATCCCACCTGTATGTTATTCCTCCTGTATTAGTGTCATCCCACCTGTATGTTATTCCACCTGTATTAGTGTCATTCAACCTGTATGTTATTCCTCCTGTACTAGTGTCATCCCACCTGTATGTTATTCCACCTGTGTAGTGTCATCCCACCTGAATGTTATTCCACCTGTATTAGTGTCATCCAACCTGTTCCATGTTATTCCACCCGCATGTTATTAGTGTCATCCCACCTGTATGTTATTCCACCTGTATTAGTGTCATCCCCACCTGTATGTTATTCCACCTGTATGTTAGTATTAGTGTCATCCCACCTGTATGTTATTCCACCTGTTATTCCCACCTGCACCCTGTATTAGTGTCATCCCACCTGAATGTTATTCCTCCTGTATATTCCACCTGTATTATTCCACCTGTTATTCCACCTGTATTACCTGTATTAGTGTCATCCCACCTGTATGTTATTCCCTGTACATCCCACCTGTATTAGTGTGTCATCCCACCTGTATGTTATTCCACCTGTATTAGTGTCATCCCACCCTGTATGTTATTCCACCTGTATTAGTGTCATCCCACCTGTATGTTATTCCACCTGTATTAGTGTCATCCCACCTGTATGTTATTCCACCTGTATTAGTGTCATCCCACCTGTATGTTATTCCACCTGTATTAGTGTCATCCCACCTGAATGTTATTCCACCTGTATTAGTGTCATCCCACCTGTGTTATTCACCTGTATTAGTGTCATCCCACCTGTATGTTATTCCACCTGTATTAGTGTCATCCCACCTGTATGTTATTCCACCTGTATTAGTGTAATCCCAGTGTCATCCCACCTGTATGTTATTCCACCTGTATTAGTGTCATCCCACCTGTATGTTATTCCACCTGTATTAGTGTCATCCCACCTGTATGTTATTCCACCTGTATTAGTGTCATCCCACCTGTATGTTATTCCACCTGTATTAGTGTCATCCCACCTGTATGTTATTCCACCTGTATTAGTGTCATCCCACCTGTATGTTATTCCCTGTACCTGTATTAGTGTCATCCCACCTGTATGTTATTCCACCTGTATTAGTGTCATCCCACCTGTATGTTATTCCACCTGTATTAGTGTCATCCCACCTGTATGTTATTCCACCTGTACTAGTGTCATCCCACCTGTATGTTATTCCACCTGTATTAGTGTAATCCCACCTGTATGTTATTCCACCTGTACTAGTGTAATCCCACCTGTATGTTATTCCACCTGTATTAGTGTAATCCCACCTGTATGTTATTCCACCTGTATTAGTGTCATCCCACCTGTATGTTATTCCACCTGTATTAGTGTCATCCCACCTGTATGTTATTCCACCTGTGTTAGTGTCATCCCACCTGTATGTTATTCCACCTGTATTAGTGTCATCCCACCTGTATGTTATTCCACCTGTATTAGTGTCATCCCACCTGTATGTTATTCCACCTGTATTAGTGTCATCCCACCTGTATGTTATTCCACCTGTATTAGTGTCATCCCACCTGAATGTTATTCCACCTGTACTAGTAGTGTAATTCCACCTGTATTAGTCATCCCACCTGTATGTTATTCCACCTGTATTAGTGTCATCCCACCTGTATGTTATTCCACCTGTACTAGTGTCATCCCACCTGTATGTTATTCCACCTGTATTAGTGTCATCCCACCTGAATGTTATTCCACCTGTATTAGTGTCATCCCACCTGTATGTTATTCCACCTGTATTAGTGTCATCCCACCTGTATGTTATTCCACCTGTGTTAGTGTCATCCCACCTGAATGTTATTCCACCTGTATTAGTGTCATCCCACCTGTATGTTATTCCACCTGTATTAGTGTCATCCCACCTGTATGTTATTCCACCTGTATCCCACCTGTATGTTATTCCAGTGTGTCATCCCACCTGTATGTTATTCCACCTGTATTAGTGTCATCCCACCTGTATGTTATTCCACCTGTATTAGTGTCATCCCACCTGTATGTTATTCCACCTGTACTTAGTGTCATCCCACCTGTATGTTATTATTCCACCTGTATTAGTGTCATCCCACCTGTATGTTATTCCACCTGTATTAGTGTCATCCCACCTGTATGTTATTCCACCTGTATTAGTGTCATCCCACCTGTATGTTATTCCACCTGTATTAGTGTCATCCCACCTGTAATGTTATTCCACCTGTATTAGTGTCATCCCACCTGTATGTTATTCCACCTGTATTAGTGTCATCCCACCTGTATGTTATTCCACCTGTATTAGTAGTGTATCCCACCTGTATGTTATTCCACCTGTACTAGTGTCCCATCCCACCTGTATTAGTGTTATTCCACCTGTATTAGTGTCATCCCACCTGTATGTTATTCCACCTGTATTAGTGTCATCCCACCTGTATGTTATTCCACCTGTACTAGTGTCATCCCACCTGTGTGTTATTCCACCTGTATTAGTGTCATCCCACCTGTGTTATTCCACCTGTATTAGTGTCATCCCACCTGTATGTTATTCCACCTGTATTAGTGTCATCCCACCTGTATGTTATTCCCTCCATTGTGTCCACCTGTATGTTATTTCCTCCTGTACTGTGTTAGTGTCATCCCACCTGATATGTTATTCCACCTGTACTTCCACCTGTGTGTCCATCCCACCTGTGTGTTATTCCACCTGTATTAGTGTCATCCCACCTGTATGTTATTTCCACCTGTATTAGTGTCATCCCACCTGTATGTTATTCCACCTGTGTTATGTCATCCCACCTGAATGTTATTCCATCCACCTGTGTCATCCCACCTGTGTTATTCCACCTGTATTAGTGTCATCCCACCTGTGTGTTATTCCACCTGTATTAGTGTCATCCCACCTGTATGTTATTCCACCTGTGTTAGTGTCATCCAACCTGTATGTTATTCCACCTGTGTTAGTGTCCATCCCACCTGTGTTATTCCACCTGTATTACCTGTGGTGTTATCCACCTGTATGTTGTTCATTCCTCCTGTGTATGTTATTCCACCTGTGTTAGTGTCATCCCACCTGTATGTTATTCCACCTGTATTAGTGTCATCCCACCTGTGTTATTCTCCTTTATCCCACCTGTACCATTCTGTGTCATCCCACCTGTATGTTATTCCACCTGTATTAGTGTCATCCACCTGTATGTTATTCCACCTGTATTAGTGTCATCCCACCTGTATGTTATTCCACCTGTATTAGTGTGGCCTGTATCATCCCACCTGAATGTTACTCCACTGTGTCCCCACCTGTATGTTATTCCACCTGTGTTAGTGTCATCCCACCTGAATGTTATTCCACCTGTATTAGTGTCATCCCACCTGTATGTTATTCCACCTGTACTAGTGTCATCCCACCTGTATGTGTGTACTAGTGTAATCCCACCTGTATGTTATTCCACCACTAGTGTCATCCCACCTGTATGTTATTCCTCCTGTGTTAGTGTAATCCCACCTGAATGTTATTCCACCTGTCATACTAGTGTCATCCCACCTGTATGTTATTCCACCTGTATTAGTGTAATCCCACCTGTATGTTATTCCACCTGTGTTAGTAATCCCACCTGAATGTTATTCCACCTGTATTAGTGTCATCCCACCTGTAATGTTATTCCACCTGTACTATTAGTGTCAATCCCACCTGTATGTTATTCCACCTGTATTAGTGTCATCCCACCTGTATGTTATTCCACCTGTATTAGTGTCATCCCACCTGTATGTTATTCCACCTGTATTCCTCCTGTATAAGTGTAATCCCACCTGTATGTTATTCCACCTGTATTAGTGTAATCCCACCTGTATGTTGTGTCCACCTGTACTAGTGTCATCCCACCTGTTATGTTATTCCACCTGTGTAAGTGTCATCCCACCTGAATGTTATTCACCTTGTTCCTGTGTCCCAATCGGGTGGCTATGGTCCACCTGTATGTTATTCCACCTGTCATAGTGTGTCATCCCACCTGTATGTTATTCCACCTGTGTTAGTGTCATCCCACCTGAATGTTATTCCACCTGTATTAGTGTAATCCCACCTGTATGTTATTCCACCTGTACTAGTGTAATCCCACCTGTATGTTATTCCACCTGTATTAGTGTCATCCCACCTGTATGTTATTCCACCTGTATTAGTGTAATCCCACCTGTATGTTATTTCCACCTGTACTAGTGTAATCCCACCTGTGAATGTTATTCCACCTGTACTTGTAATCCCACCTGTATGTCCCACCTGTATGTTACTCCACCTGTATTAGTGTCACCCCACCTGTATGTTATTCCACCTGTATTAGTGTAATCCCACCTGTATGTTATTCCACCTGTGTTAGTGTCATCCCACCTGAATGTTATTCCACCTACTGTGCATCCCACCTGTTGTTATCCCACCTGTATGTTATTCCACCTGTACTAGTGTCATCCCACCTGTATGTTATTCCACCTGTATTAGTGTCATCCCACCTGTATGTTATTCCACCTGTATGTATCCAGTGTTCCACCTGTAGCTAGTGTCATCCACCTGTATGTTATTCCTCCTGTATTAGTGTCATCCCACCTGTATGTTATTCCACCTGTACTAGTGTCATCCCACCTGTATGTTATTCCACCTGTATTAGTGTCATCCCACCTGTATGTTATTCCACCTGTAGTGTCATCCCCCTCTGAATGTTATTCCACCTGTCCACTAGTGTAATCCCACCTGTATGTTATTCCACCTGTATTAGTGTCATCCACCTGAATGTTATTCCTCCTGTCTGTGTCATCCATCCTGTATGTTATTCCCCTGTGTGTTATTCCACCTGTGTATTCCCACCTGTATGTTATTCCACCTGTGTGTCCATCCACCTGAATGTTATTCCATGTGTTAGTGTCATCCCACCTATGTTATTCCACCTATATTAGTGTCATCCCACCTGTATGTTATTCCACCTGTATTAGTGTCATCCCACCTGTATGTTATTCCACCTGTGTTAGTGTAATCCCACCTGAATGTTATTCCACCTGTACTAGTGTCATCCCACCTGTATGTTATTCCACCTGTATTAGTGTCATCCCACCTGTATGTTATTCCACCTGTGTTAGTGTCATCCCACCTGAATGTTATTCCACCTGTATTAGTGTCATCCCACCTGAATGTGATTCATCCTGTACTAGTGTAATCCCACCTGTATGTTATTCCACCTGTATTAGTGTCATCCCACCTGTATGTTATTCCACCTGTACTAGTGTCATCCCACCTGTATGTTATTCCACCTGTGTTAGTGTCATCCCACCTGAATGTTATTCCACCTGTACTAGTGTCATCCCACCTGTATGTTATTCCACCTGTGTGTACTTGTGTAATCCCACCTGTGTTATTTTTTCTTCACCTGTGTGTACTAGTGTATCCCATTGTGGTGTTGTTCCACCTGTATTAGTGTCATCCACCTGTATGTTATTCCACCTGTATTTCCAACTGTGGTAGTGTCATCCACACCTGTGTGTTCCACCTGTGTTAGTGTCATCCCACCTGTATGTTATTCCACCTGTGTGTGTCATCCCACCTGTATGTTATCCCACCTGTGTGTGTCATTCCACCTGTATGTTATTCCACCTGTATTAGTGTCATCCCACCTGTGTATGTCCCCACCTGTATTAGTGTCGTCCCACCTGTATGTTATTCCACCTGTATTAGTGTAATCCCACCTGTATGTTATTCCACCTGTACTAGTGTAATCCCACCTGTATGTTATTCCACCTGTACTAGTGTCATCCCACCTGAATGTTATTCCACCTGTATAAGTGTCATCCCACCTGTATGTTATTCCACCTGTGTTAGTGTCATCCCACCTGTATGTTATTCCACCTGTATTAGTGTCATCCCACCTGTATGTTATTCCACCTGTATTAGTGTCATCCCACCTGTATGTTATTCCACCTGTATTAGTGTGTCCCACCTGTATGTTATTCCACCTGTTGTGTGTCATCCCACCTGTATGTTATTCCTCCTGTACTAGTGTCATCCCACCTGTATGTTATTCCCTCCTGTATTAGTGTCATCCCACCTGTATGTTATTCCACCTGTATTAGTGTCATCCCACCTGTGTTATTCCTCCTGTATTAGTGTTAGTGTCATCCCACCTGTATGTTATTCATCCTGTACTAGTGTCATCCCACCTGAATGGTATTCCTCCTGTATTAGTGTCATCCCCCCTGTATGTTATTCCACCTGTAATAGTGTCATCCCACCTGTATGTTACTCCACCTGTATTAGTGTAATCCCACCTGTATGTTATTCCTCCTGTATTAGTGTCATCCCACCTGTATGTTATTCCACCTGTAATAGTGTCATCCCACCTGTATGTTACTCCACCTGTATTAGTGTCATCCCCCCTGTATGTTATTCCACCTGTAATAGTGTCATCCCACCTGTATGTTATTCCACCTGTATTAGTGTCATCCCCCCTGTATGTTATTCCTCCTGTATTAGTGTCATCCCACCTGTATGTTATTCCTCCTGTACTAGTGTCATCCCACCTGAATGGTATTCCTCCTGTATTAGTGTCATCCCACCTGTATGTTATTCCACCTGTGTTAGTGTCATCCCACCTGTATGTTACTCCACCTGTATTAGTGTCATCCCACCTGTATGTTACTCCACCTGTATTAGTGTCATCCCACCTGTATGTTACTCCACCTGTATTAGTGTCATCCCACCTGTATCGGTGTTGTGCCGTGTTTATTAGTGTCATTCAACCTGTATGAGTGTAGACTATTCTGTTAGAATTGTGTCATATTGTCTCAGTGTCATCCATAACATATTACACCTTATTTGGAATAAAATATGTCAAATTGTTGTCATTCAACGTTGTAATATTTTCATTCAGAATCTTTGCAGGATTATTTAGAATATTCATAAGTCGAATTATGCGATGCCACCTTATGTGAGCGTCAATGCGTTTCGAGACACCATAACATGAATAACGAATGACGGGAGGGAGCAGTGGGCATTTTTATATATGAAATATCGGTCATTCGTTATTTGCTGTCATTCGTCTTTCACTTAAAGATCAACTCTTAAAGGTACCGCGCAGCATAAGTGTAACTCCCACACACACATGTACCTGCTGCATTGAAGAGTTTTATCTCCAAACACATATAGAGAAAATGTTTATTAAAGTGTCACGGGGTTTTGTAATGGAATACAATGTAATAAATACATACATTGAATATAAAAAGCACCCGGACGTGTGGCATATGCGACACTAAAATACTAGAATATCACAGCAATAAAATAAGAGAATACAATCACACAGAAGTTAGAACCACACTGACGCACACAGACTGACACGCAATCGTGCACTCGCTCACTCATACACTCACTCACGCATACAAGCAATCAAGCATTCACCCACATTAGCAATCCGGTAATCAGGCAGTCACATACACAACCACAGGCTTACACTATCTCTCTATGAAGTACTCACACAATATGTAGGCTACACATACACAACCACAGGCTTACACTATCTCTCTATGAAGTACTCACACAATATGTAGGCTACACATACACAACCACAGGCTTACACTATCTCTCTATGAAGTACTCACACAATATGTAGGCTACACATACACAACCACAGGCTTACACTATCTCTCTATGAAGTACTCACACACATATGTAGGCTACACATACACAACCACAGGCTTACACTATCTCTCTCTATGAAGTACTCACACATAATATGTAGGCTACACATACACAACCACAGGCTTACACTATCTCTCTATGAAGTACTCACACAATATATGTAGGCTACACATACACAACCACAGGCTTACACTATCTCTATGAAGTACTCACACAATATGTAGGCTACACATACACAACCACAGGCTTACACTATCTCTCTATGAAGTACTCACACAATATGTAGGCTACACATACACAACCACAGGCTTACACTATCTCTCTATGAAGTACTCACACAATATGTAGGCTACACATACACAACCACAGGCTTACACTATCTCTCTATGAAGTACTCACATAATATGTAGGCTACACATACACAACCACAGGCTTACACTATCTCTCTATGAAGTACTCACACAATATGTAGGCTACACATACACAACCACAGGCTTACACTATCTCTCTGAAAGTACTCACACAATATGTAGGCTACACATACACAACCACAGGCTTACACTATCTCTCTATGAAGTACTCACACAATATGTAGGCTACACATACACAACCACAGGCTTACACTATCTCTCTATGAAGTACTCACACAAATATGTAGGCTACACATACACAACCACAGGCTTACACTATCTCTCTATGAAGTACTCACACAATATGTAGGCTACACATACACAACCACAGGCTTACACTATCTCTCTATGAAGTACTCACACACAATGCTAGGGCTACACATACACAACCACAGGCTTACACTATCTCTCTCTATGAAGTACTCACACAATATGTAGGCTACACATACACAACCACAGGCTTACACTATCTCTCTATGAAGTACTCACACAATATGTAGGCTACACATACACAACCACAGGCTTACACTATCTCTCTATGAGGTACTCACACAAATATGTAGGCTACACATACACAACCACAGGCTTACACTATCTCTCTATGAGGTACTCACACAAATATGTAGGCTACACATACACAACCACAGGCTTACACTATCTCTCTATGAGGTACTCACACAATATGTAGGCTACACATACACAACCACAGGCTTACACTATCTCTCTATGAAGTACTCACACAATATGTAGGCTACACATACACAACCACAGGCTTACACTATCTCTCTATGAGGTACTCACACAAATATGTAGGCTACACACACACACAACCACAGGCTTACACTATCTCTCTATGAGGTACTCACACACAATATGTAGGCTACACATACACAACCACAGGCTTACACTATCTCTCTATGAAGTACTCACACAATATGTAGGCTACACATACACAACCACAGGCTTACACTATCTCTCTATGAAGTACTCACACAATATGTAGGCTACACATACACAACCACAGGCTTACACTATCTCTCTATGAAGTACTCACACAATATGTAGGCTACACATACAAACACAACAAAGTACCTACGCGCACCTACATGCACATGTATATGCAAACACTCACATACATGCAAACATGCATACTTACATGCAAATGCTCCACACTATTAGAATAACAAAAAACCAAAAACAAAACAGCACTCACATACATACATAAAAGTATAAATATATATACGATACACTAAAAACTGCACACTCTCTGCTTGCGACTTGTTATACTTTGCATACATAAAGGTACCAGCTGCCTTGTAGACTTTTACCTCTAAAGATTTATAGAGGTACCCGCTTCCGTGTAGAGTTTTATCTCTTAACACACACTGGTACCCGCTAATTTGTAAAGTTGGATTTTCTAACTAATATAGAGGTAGCCCCGGCCTTAAAAATTGTAGAGTTTTATCTCCAAACACATGACTAGTCACACGCTGCCCTGCAGAGTTTTAATTTGTCTTATTAAGGCCAAATACGACATGCAATATTTACGAGAAAAAAATGTTTTTGTTACACACACATCGTTCCGTCAATGTATGCACATGTACAAACATATTAAAAATAAAACTGGTACATGCGTTGAAAGAAACTTAGTTTGTGTTAGATTTTATTCATAAATTTATAAATTCGCAGCACGAAATAGTTCTGTAAACATTAATTTATTTATAATCCTGGCGACGATATGTATCTCATGTATAAGTTGTAATAAATTCATTTAATAAAGTCTCGTCAATGCAACTACGAAAATATATTACAAATATATCTACATATAACATTTGTAGCATGACAAAAAATTGAAACGACACTGGGTGGTGCGCAAAAATAGTTCTTTATTATAAATTCATATGTCATTATGGAATTATTTTTACCCATTCAGTTATAATTTCTCATAAATATATCCTGAGGTTAACATATAGTTTAATTAGTTGCCGTGTGAATGACAGCATTATATAAACGATAAAAGGGCTGTGGTGGATATAACAGACATATATACACATATATACGTCATGTCGTGTATATAACAGAGTTATATGCACGACATGGTCTTGTCGTGTATATAAGAGCATTATATACACGACGTCGTGTATATAGCCACAGCCTTCCTCTCATGTGACAAGTGCACGTTCTGTAAACCTACTGTTGATTGGCATTGACTGGCCAATGGAATGACGCGTAACAAACGCAGTCTGTATATCAACATGGATGACAAAATGGTTTTTGCGGGAATTTGCAAATTTATAAAATCTCTAACTGCTTCAGTTTCAATTTAATATTAATTAAACTTACAGAAAAGCTACAACATGAAATGTGTGATACCTGGACTAAACTTAAAAGGTAATAGCTTATCGTTTTTAGAGAGTTTTCATTGGTAGTGGGTATTGTTAGCGCATGTTTTACGCGAACGTGCTAAACCCAACATAAGAATGATGTAGTGATACTAGCTGATATAAACACTTCTCCATCGAGTCAGATTTTAGGAGTATTTGATGTACCGGGGCCGACATATTCCTTTAAGGCACTTCGAGGAAGAATATTTCGGACAAATGTTAACTTGCATGACAAGTAATTCCAGACAGGAACACGCAGATAATAACTGGACTCCCCTGCAAGTTCGTGTTCACTTCCTATGTTTCATCTTAGACCTCTTGGGGAGACCAGGTTTGATTTAATCGAAAAGAGTCCAAGTTTGCCTTTGAAGTCGACTGTCAAAGTCTGATTTTCAAATTCATGATTGTGGCACTCGTAACCGGGAACAGGTCAAAATGGCCACACGACAAAATGGCCACACTGACCAAAGTCAAAATGGCCACAACCCCCAGTCAAAATCGCCATCTGAAAACTTGATATATATAACAATCGACTTCGCGTCAGCTACCTGGTTGGCCCTAGACTGAGTTTTGCCAAATGAGAAAGTACAGCTGAAGGGGTCGTTGTCGGCACAGGTACTACAGATACGTACCCCAGGTACCTTTCTGTATACAGATATGTACCCTAAACAAAGTCAAAATACAGAAACGTACCCGGTACCCTAAAAGGCGGACGAGTCCACGAAACGAAACCGTATGTAGTTGTTCCCGTTCAACTGATTCCGAGTGGTATTCATGTGCATCGCGAAATATCCGTTACTGTGTATTCTCATTACTTACATAACGCAATCAAATGTATCTAATACAACAGTATGACAGTTCCGGTCAAGAATACGACACAATGGGAATGGAATCGTCCTAGGGTACGTTTTTGTATTCTCATTATGGCCAAGGTACGTTTCTGTATACAGAAACGTACCTGGGTTACATATCTGTAGTACCCGTGCGGACAACGACCCCCTCAGCGAAAGTACATGGCTGTGTATTTCACTTCACCCAGGCCATCTGGAGGAAATGTCAAGAGTTTGGTCTGCAGGTAAGTGATTATAAATTGTAGAATTATACATTGTAAATCAGAGAATTATAAAATATATTTATTAAATTAAAATTTTATAATCATGTAAGTTTATTGAAAATTGACATTGAGAAGAATAACACTTAAAATGTGGGTATTTGTGTTGTAGGATGGAACCGGCGAATGAACTCTTGCAAAGGGGAGAGAACACTCGGCCTGTATAAGCTCATCGAAGCCCTGCACAAGGAGGCACGCCAGGTCGACATTCACACGAGACTTCTCCATGATGGCAAGCTGCAAAAATTCACCAGAAAGACAGCCACCCGTAACAAGGAGGAGGTTTTCACAGCTTGGCGTTTCTACAAGGATGGAAAGCTGAGCCCCATAGAACTTCTCCGCTTTTGTGCCCAGCTGACCGGACCATTGGAATGATCAAGTTTCTGACTTGAAAACAGAGATCTGCAGGGGTGTCTTGTAAAAGACAGTATTTAGTATTAATAATACTGTCTATCTGTTTTGTAAAAGTAAATAGTTAAAAAGTGCATGTACATGACAAAAGAACATACATATATATTTGTTATTTGTTGAAAATATTATTTGTTTATGTAATAAACATCAAGTTTTGTCTGATATAACTTCTTTTGTCATTATTACACCTTGATATCAAAGAATACAAATGTTAGGCATATAAAAGAATAAAAAAAAATAATGTGTGGCCATTTTGACTTTCTATGGTCATTTTGACTTTTTGCTGTGGCCATTTTGACCAGGGGTTTGTGGCCATTTTGACTTGCTCATTTTGTGGACATTTTGTCGTGTGGCCATTTTGACTAGGACCCCTCATAACCGACGTTGACAAATATCCTCAAACGAGCTGAATTTGATGATTGCATTGCTCGCGCTATATCGGGGGAGAACGTGTGCGATCGGAGTGCACAAGCAGTTTCATCAAAATTTGGATATATGTCTGCCACAGAAAATACAAATGCTCCAAAACCGGTCTGAATCTGATGAGATAAAGAGAGATATTTTCGTTTGGTACCAGTCTCTTTGGGTTTGATAGTCTATTATCTGTAGACAAATAGTAGGGTATATTTAAATGTATTCAGTATATCACATGACATAACTGGCATTCAAAGCTGTCAATTATTCACATTTACCACATATTTAATTATTTTCTGTTTTTCCACAGTATTTGGAAGAGCCATCCACTCCTTGTCAAAGATTGGAGATGAACTGTACATTGAACCCATGGAAGAGGGAGTAGGTTTTATGAATGAAATCATAACTTGTTTGTTATGAAATGGACTTTTCAGTTATCCATTGAGAAATAACCTCAGGAGGGATATACATGTACATGTAGGCAATTGTCAAATTTGTCAGCTTGTCACTTCTTTGTTCTGGCAAAGTTCATTTTGTTTGTGCCTGTGGTATGGATCATTACTGGTAATATCGATCACAAGATTGTCTGGCCCTGACTTGTTTATGTATATCATCAAATAGCTGGATTACTCCTGTGTGCATTCTACATTTTCAACCAACAATCATTCTTGCTACCCATCCCAATTTTGGTTTCTGCACCAGGTTACTGTTAAAGCATGATATTTTTTAGCATTTTAAGGAAACTTTTTTGAGTGGCATGTTTAGAATTTGGTGAATCAAATAAGGACAAACTTTATGGATGAACAACTAAACTTACTTCTATATTTGGATGATGCAACGTTTCGATACAGATTCTTGTATCGTTGTCAAGCAAGAATGAGTCAGGTAAAAAATAGGGTTATATACATATATACAGTAAATAATTAACAAGAACAACAAGAAGTAACAATGTGATGACAAGGGATTACATGTAGAAGCCAGTGAGGTGAGGTGAAATTGGGTTTAACGTCGTACTTGAGAATATTTCGCTCATATTACAACGTGCATGCGTATGTATGTGTATGTGCGGCTGCTTGTACTAGCCCAGACTGAAGCTGGTTTTATAGTGCTAGCCCACTGAGATACCACTCCGCAGTGAAGCATGAATACCCCACTCAGACACATTATACTGACTCCGAGCCGACCAGTCCTTGTAGCCATTAATACTGAGTGCCAGGCAGGTACCAACAAGTACCATAGTTTAACATCTTTTGGTATGACGTGGTTGGGGATCGAACCCACGACCTTCCGCTCTCCAGGCGGACGCTCTGACCACTACACCACGGAGGCGGCCGTAGAAGCCAGTGATAATAATGATAATAATAATGCTAATTTTTGCGCCTAGAATCCAACGAGATGCTGTTCCCTGGCTTTACATTATTACCCTTACGGCATTGTACTTTCAAAGCTGCTACTAAGGGCTTCACGCGACCATATAGGTCCATACATCCGCTTCTCAGGTACCCGCTTTGAACAGCTGGGTGGACTGTGTGCAATGTGGACGAAGTGCCTTGCCCAGGGACACAACACAGTATGAGACCCAGGTCACAAATTTTGGTGTCTCCAGCGGGATTCAAACCCGGGCCTTTGGCATGAGAGGTCAGCATGCTAACCACTACACCACCGTGCTCCACGGATTGCATTTAGAAGCCAGTTGATTGATAGACTGTTTTTTTTACCTGACTCTTGCTTGACAACGATACAAGAATCTGTATCAAAACGTCGCATCATACAAATAAAGAAGTTTGATCCATGTCAGGAAGACTGTTTAAACAGTGGTTACATAAAAGAAATATTGCCACTATGTTCTATTTTAAAAAAACCCCTCAGCATTCCAAATTGCTATTCTGTGAGCTTCATTTTTATACAAATGTGATAATAGATGTATACAATATAATGAATATATGATAATAAACAGGGATTTACAGGACGCGAATTCCTGCGTCCTATACCCATAAAAATTGACAATGGATGCAACCAAATTTATTAGCGCATCCACAGGGACGCAGAAAAAGTCTTAATACTTTTTGTAAAAATTCCATTCAAGTAACAATACGTTATCACTGAGTTTGCTACTAGCTGGGTTATGGTATCATTTGCAATTTAGTTACTGTAACAATGTGATGATCATGATACACAATACAATAACAGTATTAATAATAATATTTAAGTGGAAAGTGTTATTTTTCCTCCTGCAGTGTGTAAAAACGTTGAATGTTCATTCAGCATTCTGTTTCAGCTGGCTCTGCGCACAGTCAACTCCTCACGGTCAGCATATGCATGTTTCCTGTTTTCACCCAGCTTCTTTCAGCATTACGATGACGGCTCTGGCCTCTCCAGCTCAGAGGACAGTGATGAGGATGGATTCCGCTGTAAGCTGGGCATGAAGGTGTGTACAAATACCTACAGATTACTCTTCACATACAAGATCTAACCTTAGTTTTAACAGTCATAGGGACCAGTGAAGATCCAGATTAGAATTGATCTTCAGCAACCCATGCTTGTTGTAAGAGGCGACTAATGGGATCGGGTGGTAAGGCTTGCTGATTTGGTTGAATATCTGGGTTCTGAATGAAAATGTAGAAGTCTCACTTTACAATGTTGGAAGCATGGGAAAAAACACACCCATTTCTGCTGAAGATGAACTCTTACCCTGAATTTCAAATATTTATTTTGGCATAGTTCAATGTATTTCCGTCATTGCTATCTTTCTGATGTTCCAGTCTATACTGACAGTGTTCCGCTCCCTCTATACAATAGAGAAGACAGTAGAGAGGTGTAAGATCCATCTGGACAACGATGAATCACGTCTGGTGTTTCAGCTGCACTGTCGACATGGTGAGTGTTAGTTGAACTGTCAACACGGTGGGTCTTAGTTGAACTGTCAACACGGTGGGTCTTAGTTGAACTGTAGACATGGTGGGTCTTGGTTGAACTGTTGACACTGTGGGTCTTAGTTGAACTGTCGACACTGTGGGTTTTAGTTGAACTGTTGACACTGGGTTTTAGTTGAACTGTCAACACGGTGGGTCTTAGTTGAACTGTCAACACTGTGGGTCTAAGTTGAACTGTCAACTCTGTTGGTCTTAGTTGAACTGTCGACACTGTGGGTTTTAGTTGAACTGTCGACACTGCGGGTCTAAGTTGAACTGTTGACACTGTGGGTTTTAGTTGAACTGTCAACACTGTGGGTCTTAGTTGAACTGTCAACTCTGTGGGTCTTAGTTGAACTGTTGACACTGTGGGTTTTAGTTGAACTGTTGACACTGGGTTTTAGTTGAACTGTCGACACGGTGGGTCTTAGTTGAACTGTCAACTCTGTTGGTCTTAGTTGAACTGTTGACACTGTGGGTTTTAGCTGAACTGTCGACACTGTGGGTCTAAGTTGAACTGTCAACACTGTGGGTCTTAGTTGAACTGTCGACACAGTTGGTCTAAGTTGAACTGTTGACACTGTGGGTTTTAGTTGAACTGTAGACATGGTGGGTCTTAGTTGAACTGTCAACACTGGGTCTTAGTTGAACTATAAACATGGTGGGTCTTAGTTGAACTGTCGACACAGTTGGTCTAAGTTGAATTGTCGACAGGATTGTTAGTCAATTACTTTCTGTTTCAAAGGGGGGTTGGGGAGGGGGGTAGCCTAGCGGTTAAAGCATTCACTCGTCACACCGAAGACACGGGTTTGATTCCCCACATGGGTACAATAGGTGAAACCCATTTCTGTTGTCCCCCGCAGTGATATTGGTGGAATATTGCTAAAAGTGACGTAAAACTAAACTCCCTCACTCACTCTCTCTCTGTTTCAAAGTATTTGTACAGAAACAGTAAAGTTAGGTAGAGATGTAAAACTCTTGATACTTAATGGATGTAGTTTCATTTCAGGAATTGTAAAGACTCACAATTTAGCTTTCATAGAATGTGAACAGTTGCAGGCTGTGTTTTCTAAAGACCTGAGTCCAAACAGGCTCACAGCTCCTTCAAAGTAAGCAAATTTTGTTATGTTTACATGGAATCATCAGATATCATTTTTATAAACTAATTGTAACACAAGACATGTTAGAAGGAACTTTTTGAGTGCCTGTTTTTACATGTTTCAGTCAGCCCATTACATTTAAAAATTTTAGTTTAAAAAATTATCGTGTAAATAAAACGTATATAGTCACTGATTTCAAGTTTTGGTTGATGTAAACTGACCAAAAGATGTTTTATTTAATGAAAGGTTTCACTGGATATCTGCAGTTTTAGGTGCCTTGTTTCAAATCTGCTTGTTTGTTTTCAGACTACTCTGTGATGTGGTTGTGAATTTTCAACACAATCAGGAGGAGATAACTCTGATTGTGAATCCAAACAAAGTAGCTTTAAAGAATTATACTGATGATGAACAAGGTATGTTACAGTTCGGGTCTGAATGTTGTGAAATGGTCCGACCACATGTACTTACAATGTCTTCTCAGTGGCATGTACAGAGTTTTCTCCCTTTGAGCAGGAACCTGTGATTGTAGGATCCAATCCTTATACACTTCGATTCCCAATTATGTTTTAGGTTGTCTGCATCATGCTTGTACTTATGCTGTGTATGAAATAAGTAAAAAAAACCAGCCAGACATTAGGGTTGGTAACTTCAAAATGTTACCAGCCCAAAATGGATTTAACCAGACCATACACCAAGATTTGGTGAATTTGATCAGATGTATGGAATATCTAAAAACATTTACCAGACCATCGGGCTGGCTAGCTAGCTGTAAATTTAGACCGTTCGTCAGAAATCTAGCCCATCTCGGGCAGTCGGATGGGCCTTATTTCGGACACTGACTTATGGGTTTTTTAACCATATTAGAAAATACTTTAGACGGTCACTTTGGTGTGCTTTCCTCCCTCATTGAGTTGGCATTCCTTGAGGTACCTGGAAGACCATTCATTGCACTCTCTCATTACTAACTAAAACATTCAGCGGACTTCATGCAGTCATAATAACTAAGTATAATAGTAGGGCTCCAGATAAATTTTCAACATCAGGAGTACATACTCCTTACTTTTTCAATGCAAGAGTACTGGAAAACCTTAAGAGTACATTTAGAGTACTTAATGGAATTTAATGGAGTACCAGTAAATTTGATTTTCGTTTCATATATGCACAACAACATTGCTATTCAGATACTTTTTCAGATATATACATCTGTAAATTATTCTAAGACCGTACACCATTGCTGTAGTGCGTATCTGCTACGTTTTCTAAATGATTTCCTACTGTATCGTGCATATTTTATATCCGTACATACGCCGCGATACGGCCCTTATCTGGAGCCCTGTAATAGTAGTTATGCTGAATGTTTTTGTTAGCTTTCCTTGTTATTAAATGTCTTGACAAGAATTCAGTCTAAATTCCAATGGTATAATGTACTGGTTACAATGAATCATTTGCATTTGAAATGTATGTTCCCCATTTTGTCACATGTCTTGCTTTTCTGGTTAATTTTTATCCCCCTGCAACGCGTTTTTCAGGGGGTATTAAAATGGAGTCCGTCTGTGCACGTTTGTCTTTTCCGAGCAGAACTTTTTTCCTTATCCTGACTCATGCTCTTTTGCTTGTCTTCTTCTTCTTGCGAACATAGTGGAACACTTGTATCTCCTTATTTGAAGCTCCCTTCAAAATAAAATCACTAATTGGTACTCACCACGAGTTGCTCCCCTTTGTCTCCCCTGGCGGAAAAGGTGTCGTCACCCTCTGGCCATGTGCTTCACTCTCTCCTTCTTCGCCCAGTGAGCAGGATGTGAGAGCGCCTTGTGTCTCCTTACACACATATCCTTTGATAATCTCTTAGTTTTTACCTCTCATAGGTTACTATAGAGGTATAGCTAGTATCCTTTACTATTTGTATTGATTAATTATCGTATTTCTACTGTTTATTCACGTGTATTAAGTGATTGTTCAGCTAACTTTACGTTCATGAAAATCTGTGCGATTTGTAGATTACGTTTTTCTGCCTCCGATCCACATGTAATATGCCCTAGTTGTTCTCGCCGTGTCGCGTTTAATTCCGTTGCAGTTACTGCATTAATTTATCTCATTCTGCATTTAATAAATATCATCTTTGCGTCTTAAGGCGTGCTGCAGATAGATCCATGAAACAAGGGCAAAACATGGCAGAGAGTCAGATATTCCTTCCAGTCAGCTGCTAGCGATCGACCCTCTCCGTCTGGTGTTCTGCTAGAGACCCTGCGGCAGAGGAGCGTGGGGCGCAGTCCGTTACCTCGAAGAAGCGACCGGCCTCCCCAGACATCCCGTCATTGCAGACTAAGTCTAAGAGGGCCTCATCGTCGTCTCAACGCAGATTGAGGACACCCAGGGCAGCGCCAGACTTCCAAAGGAAATCTCACGAAGACAGCAAGAACTTTCTCAGCGAGATCGTTCCAGCAGCAGAGTTGGGCCTCTACGATGATCAGCCGATAATCATCCCGACTTACGGCAGAAGAAGCGACCGGTGTCAGCGACTGTGACTTCTGCAGAGATCTCCATGCAGCCTGATGCCTCTACACCGGCGTCAGGCGTCATTGATGTGAACCCCATCGCAGAAAAGAGCGCCCGGCGACTTCGTCTGAATCATCCCAGAAGACATGATCGCGGCAGATTATGAACATCATGGAGGACCACTACAAACTGCGCAAGCGAAGTCCGAACCTTCGAAGGCTCCAACGTGAACAACACCCCAGAGGCACCCCCGTCAGCGTAGCAGCCAAGGCGATGTCACCTTCGCGAAGGAAGTCCGCACCACCTTGACGAAGGACCTAGATGTACAGCCTTCGAAGGCCTTCAGCGAAGCGGGAGAGATCATCACCATCTTCGATTTCATCTCTAGATATGGACTCAGACCATCAGACATCACGGAAGCCTTCGCGAAGGTCATATCATCGATCCCCCGGACCGGACGCAAATGAAGCTTCGCGAAGGCATTCGCGAAAGACATATGATTCCAGATCTTCATCGTCTAGAAGAACATCGAGGGACTGCCGAAGAGCTTCGCGAAGCTATCAACATTCACCTCACAAGTCTCCGAGAAGATCATCCCATAGGCGATCTCCACTCCGTTCATCACCAGGTCGATCACCCATCAGATCTCCACATAGAAGCGGCGCACAAGTCAACTAGATAAGCCACAAACCTCATCAGATATTCAGACAGCTACGCGCGTCGAAGAGCATCTACAATTTATTAATGATGATGGTTTTGAGGATGATGGAGGAATCATATTTTCTGATGCAGAGATACGGGTATTGGATGGTCAATAACCTAGATCTCACATCACCATCTAAAAGTGGCAATACAGCTCAGGCGTATTTGATGAAGGAAGATGATCCAGATGCAATCACTCTACCCCGATCGACCCGATTGCGGCAGTGCCACAGAATCTAGATGCAGCTTTCCAGAAAGCTACGAAAGTTCAGATACCACATCTACCCAACTTTCAAGCCAAGAAGTTCTCCACGCATAACATGGACTCCTTCTACAAGGCCCAGGACATCGATGAGAACTATAAGATCATCAGCGATGTAAAGAACAAGATTTACAAGATGGATGATCGCAAGTTGGCTCATATAGAAACCATGGCGAGGCGTATGTTCTTTGGGTTAAATAGATCTAGGGCGATCAATGAGACTCTTATTACTAGATTCGGGATTCCACGACGGAAGATGATAGAATGATTTATTCTGCCTTACTTATGCAAAGAAAGATCAGCAGTTTTTAACGGATCATCTTACATCTGTTTCAGCAGCACTGACCTTAGCTCGTCGTCAAGGCCTCCTCGCCTCCTGTAATTGGGGAGAACTTTACAGCCCACTTTATACAGCCCGTGGTCGACAACATCCATCTTTGACGGAGAAATCGACAAAGTCGCCAAGGAAGTCTCTAAGGATTCCAGGGAAGTCCTTATGATTAGATCGATGGACACACTAGCCAGCGTCATTCGTCAGACTTCACAAAGATACTCAGGCAGATCTAAGTTCACGGGCCTACAAAGAGCAAGAGACAGGAAGATAGCCAGCTCTAGAGGTAAAGATTCTTTTAAATTAAGCCCATATGGCAACTATAGAGGAGGATCAGGAAGAGGCAGGACACCCAGAGGTTCCCGCAATTATAGACGCTGAAACACAGGTTCGGAACGACTGGAGTCTTCCACCCCCAGCCGTTCCAGTACAACCAGCTCAAGTGGGTGGACGCCTCCAACTACACTGGGAAAACTGGGGAATACTGCAAGATCCTTACGTCTCCAACATTATTCAACACGGATTTCGTATCCCTCTACAGGACAAGCCTCCGCTGACAATCAAACCCCCCAAGTTCGATTTACAAGCGCAACAACTACCAAAGATAAAAGAGGCTGTCTCATCACTCCTATCCAAACAGGCCATAGAAGTAATAGATCAAGCAAACGTCGAACCAGGTTTCTACTCCCCAGTTTTCCTAGTTCCCAAGAAAAACTCCACGGAGAAATACAGACTCATCTACAACATGAGCTTTTTCAACAAGAACTATCTACGCAAACCACCGAAGTTTCGCATGATACATTTACCTCAGTTACGCCAGATGATTCGTCCTATGGACTACATGGGCAGCATAGATCTACAGGATGCCTACTTGCACATCCCCATTCATCCCGATTCCAGGAAATACCTACGATTTACTCTAGAAGGGCTACATTACCAGTGGAAAGTACTCCCATTCGGAATATCATCAGCCCCCCTGGCTATTCACGAGGATAACGAAACCGATTATCAAATTTCTACATCGTCAAGGGCTACGCAGTGCGTTTTACCTCGACGACGGGATACAAGTAGATCAAGATCCACTGCGTCTCAAACTACAGTTAAATTACATCATAAAGCTACTAACACAACTAGGTTGGTTAGTAAACTTACGCAAGTCGGACCTAGTACCATCGCAAGACCTACAGTTCCTAGGTATTCGATTCATCACAAATCGCAACCGTATTATGGTACCAGAAGACCGTTGGCTCAAGATACAACAGACCATTCCACCAGCTCTACTCTCTCCGTTACCACTGCGACAATGGCAGAGCCTACTAGGTCTTCTCACATCAGCCCAAGACATGACTGTCACAGGCAGATTACAGTTACGTCCCCTACAGGTCCTCATCAACGCACATCTCAACGATGTACAACCATTCAGTCTACCGAAACATCTCAGACCACATCTACTATGGTGGACCAAGAAATCGAATGTCTGCGAAGGGATTTGTTTAGCAGAGCAGGAATACAAAACCCATCTGTATGTAGACGCGTCACTCCAAGGTTGGGGAGCTCATCTCACCAACCACACGATATCAGGGTTATGGAATCAGCAAGAATGCAAACTCCATATAAACAGTCTAGAAATGAAAGCTGTAATCAACGCCATTCTACATTGGAGCACATTTCTACAAAATGCGCGCCTAATGATCCATACAGACAATTCGACAGTGGCGTTCTACATAAACAAGCAAGGCTCAACGAGATCGATGAACCTTTTGAACCTAAGCTTTCAACTGTTCGATTTAATACAAGATCTAAATCTACATGTCAAAGCAGTGCACATTCCCGGAGCCAGAAATATACTAGCAGACGCTCTCTCTCGGCCTCATCTACCATCACCGACAGAGTGGATGATCAACCGGGAAATTTTTGCACAGATAATCAAGCAATTAGGAGCGCCGCTAATAGACCTATTCGCCACGCGATTCAACAATCAGCTACCGACATTCGTGTCACCAGTCCCAGACCCCCAAGCTTGGGCAACGGACGCTCTAAGTCTATCATGGGAAGGCCTCAATGCGTACGCGTTTCCGCCGCCAGCAATAATACCTCAAGTATTACAGAAAATCAGACAAACACAGAGCCTACAACTCACTTTGGTCGCGCCCTACTGGCCGGCCAGAACGTGGTTTCCCATACTAATTCAAGAAATCGGTCAACCAACACTGGAGCTACCCAAGCGCGCAAACCTGTTAATTCATCCTCACACCAAACAAGTGCACGGAAACCCAGCAATGTTCCAACTACACGTATGGACTGTATACAAATGTGTTTAAACAAGAGAGAGGATATTCTGCCAGGGCGGCAAAAGCAGTCACGCTTGCCTTACGTTACTCAACTCGTAACTTGTACGACGACAAGTGGCACAGTTTCGAAAATTATGCAACAAAGAAAGGGTTTACAGCAAGAGAGGCTTCACAACCTCAAGTGGCAGACTATTTGTGTTACCTACGCCAAAACAAACATTTAAAAGGTTCAACGATATCAACATATCTTGCCGCGCTTAGCTCTGTAATCACCATGAGAACGGGTGTCAAATTGACAAGATCTCCAGAGTTACTGGCCTTACTACGAGCTTTCCGATTGGAGGACCAAAAGCGGAAGTTCCACGCCCCAGCTTGGGATCTGAATGTAGTGTTACAACACCTCACGAGTGAGGTCTATGAACCCTTGGAATCGACAAACTTTGAATTTCTCTCACAGAAAACATTGTTTCTGCTATCGCTAGCCACAGCAGCAAGAATGTCTGAAATTCACGCTCTGGATTACGAGAGGATACAGTTTGATGACAATCATAACACAGCGCACCTCGGATTAAGATGGGATTTCATTGCAAAGAATCAACTGCCAGGTCAACCAGACAGATTATTCCACATCCCGGCGCTATCCTCTATTCTCGGATCACAAGATACACAAGACCTATCACTGTGTCCGGTAAGAGCGCTCAAAGTTTATTTACGACGATCCAAAACAAGGAGAAGATTTCTCAAACGTTTATTCATCCCATTATCGCCTACGAATCAAACAGAAGTGTCACGGACCACAATATCTATTTGGATAAGGACTGTCATTCTCCGTGCCTACAAGGCAGCAGGCTTGGACCCACCAACAGCATCAAATCCACATGAGATCAGGGCACTGGCCTCTACCCTCGCCCTACACGGTAACTGTTCCTTGAACACGATTATGGAAGGATGCTATTGGAAATCTAACATGGTATTTGCTAATCACTACCTAAGAGACATCACTACAGAAGATGTCTCTGGCATTCACCATTTCGGACCACTGGTCCTCGCTCAGCAACTGACAGTCCCTCGTAGGCGTTAAAATATTAGCCTCACAAGATTAATATGTATTTTATACATACTCATCTAGCTTATAACTCTAAGGAGTTTTAGGGCTATGTATATATGTTCAGCTTAAGTATTCTACCTTAAGCATATACTTGGATATAGTCAATTTCAGTGCCTCTATCAGAGTCACCTATATATATATATATATAATTTATATGTATTGTTCAATATATTCATAATGTAATTCCCCTTTAATGGCTTTATATAACCTATGGTTTTCTTTATACAGGATACATCCTAAATCTAAGACTTCATGAAGTTCCGTGGGGAGATATTACAGTATATCTATACAAAATCACTAATTATAAATCCAAAGTATTCTGTTACCCACCTCCGTTCCGTAGGATGCTACAAGCAAAAGAGCATGAGTCAGGATAAGGAAAAATATGTAATTTTTAGAGTAAAATTGATATTTTATACTTATCCTGACTCATGAGGTTAGCCCTCCCATCCTCCCCACATAACACTTTGGATTTCCCTGTAAATTCAAGTGTTGGGCTCGCTAAATCAGGAGAGAGTGGAGCACATGGCCAGAGGGTGGCGACACCTTTTCCCGCCAGGGGAGACAAGGGGAGCAACTTCGTGGTGAGTACCAATTAGTGATTTTATTTTGAAGGGAGCTTCAAATAAGGAGATACAAGTGTTCCACTATGTTCGCAAGAAGAAGAAGACAAGCAAAGAGCATGAGTCAGGATAAGTATAAAATATCAATTTTACTCTAAAAATTACATTTAACCACACTCTCTGTCAGGCACCTAACTGCCACCACACACGGTCAGCAATCTAACCCACTCAAGCAATGTAGCTTCCTGATCCTGAAGGGGTAGTTTTTATTCTTCGACGGGACTCAACCCCAAAGTACATCAAATGTTCTATTGACAAGTAAATGACAATACTTTATTACCCCAAGGGGAATTCTTTTTACATTTGAAAGTGGTCACATGGTTGCATATTAAAAATGACATAAAGGTTAATAAAACACAACACAACACAACAGACAGACAAAGTTAACAGTCATTTAAAAGTCGAATACTTGCTGGAATATAAGAATTTTGAAATCTTTTTGTTTTAAAACGGGACATTTGGTATCGGCGGCCTGAAGGTAAAAGATGATATTCAGAAAATAAAACATGGCTGGAATCAGATAAAATTCTATCAACAAGGAGCATATGGAACAAGACAAATGGAGAGACGGCTGTGTTAACATCACATTTACTGACTTATTTACTGAGAAAGTGTAATCCAAAATATTATGTATGTTACTTTTGACCACTTTCTGAAAGGACATTGTGTATTTGTAAAGTGAGGCCCCATACTTGCTGTAAGAGGCGACTAACGGGATCGGGTGGCCAGGCTCGCTGACTTGGTTGACACATTTTATCATATCCTAATTGTGCAGATGGAAGCTCATGGTGTTGATCACTGGTCCAGATTTGATTATTTACAGACAGCCTCCATACAGCTGGAATATTGCTGAGTGAGTTGTTAAACAACAATCAATCAATCAATCACTGACTTGGTTGACACGCGTGTCATCGTATGGGGAGGTCATTGCTCCTGATGTTGTCCATGCTGGATTGTCTGGTTCAGACTACAGACTTACAGACTTACAGACTGACGCCATATAGCTGGAAGATTGCGGAGTGTGGCGTTAAACAACAAACAAACAAACAAACATTCCTGAAATGAGTTGTTCAGAAATGTATGCTAGGTAGTAATACTCCAGTATATAAGCAAGCCTGTGGTTGATAGCACAGGCAGCGATCCATTGGATCATCCTGGTGCTCACTGTAAATATGCCAGGGTCATTTTATTGCCACTACAAGCTGGCGATGCAAGGGGGCACCTGTTCTAAACCTGAATCTCCATAGGGAAATAATGGTAGAAAGCAAATGAAACAAGTCTATTTTGAAGCTATAGTTCTTAAGTGATAATTCAAGTCATTCAATCTTGAGGACAGGCATATATTTTAACACTTATCCTCTCACTGTTTCTTCTTGTTTGTTTTTTCTTGTGTTTGCAAAAAAAAAGAAAAGAGGCTTATTTGAATTTATATTCCTTTTTCTTCCCCAGGCAATCCTGGCATTTACGGAGGTGACAAACCTACCTTTGAACATCCATTTTGAGACGCCCGGGAGGTAGGAGTCAACATTATGAACATTGCAATAACTAGAGTTGTAACGAATCCTCTATGAAGCAAATATAATACAAATCATGTGTAAGGAATATGATTATTGGGAATTGTGGCCACCTGTGGTGGTGTGTGGTCCTGTGCACAAAACGCAGGTCACGAATCAGTTGCAGTTAAGCAACGTCGAGCTAGGACAGTCCTTGGATGTGTGACCGTGTGTGACAGCTTGACTCCTGAGAGTTTCAAGGACTTGCCCCACAACGAAGCACATGTGATACATGTGGTCTCACCTTAGGCAAGTGAATTTGTTCAAACTTGCCTCTGTTCACCCAGCAGATAATGGGTACCCGGTTGGATAAAGTCATGTTACTATAACCTTCTAGCACCTAACAGGCAGCTTGGGTTATCCGGGGTAATAATAATCAGGGTGTTAGCGCTTAGAGCATGCTTTGTTGCGTGGAGATTTGCGCATTATAAGACTTCTCATTATTTTTATTATTATTAATTGAATACAATTATAAGTCAGCAGCAGCAGTTTTATCATTTATCATATTAAATAATATTTGACATGTTCTGACCATGATGACAGTGTTAATTTATCTCGAAAATATATTTTTCTCAAATTAAGTATACCAGTGTAAGAATGTCTATTATACTGCCTGGCTTGAATATATTCCATTTTGCATATCTCGCTTTGGTAATGTAACCAAGGGTCAGATCCAGGTTCACCTGCTCACAGCGATCTTAACACTACACCTGTTGTATGTCTATGTCAAAGTAAGGGTGTTACAATTGTCATAGAGCGTCTGCCCAGAGAGCAGAAGGTCATAGGTTCTATGCCCAGCCGCGTCATACCAAAACACGTTAAAATATAGCACTTGTTGGTCCCTGCCTGCCTGCCTGCTCGGTGTTAATGGGCAGGGCTCCAGATTATTTTTTAACATCAGGAGTACGTACTCCTTATTTTTTCAATATAAGAGTACTGGAAAACCTTAAGTGTACATTTAGTGTACTGAATGGAATTTAATGGCGTATCAGTAATAAGTTTCGTTTCATATATGCACCACACCATTGCTACTCTTGTGTAAAACAGGTCAATGAACAATAAAACAATACTTTTTCCAATAAATACGACTGTAAATGATTCTAAGACGGTACACCATTGCTGTGGTGCGTATCTGCTACGTTTTCTAAAACATTTCGTACCGTATCGTGCATATTTTTTATCCGTACATACGCCGATACAGCCCTTATCTGGAGCCCTGTTACTGGGTACAACAAGGACTGGTCGGCTCAGAGTCAGTATAATGTGTCTGAGTGGGGTATTGATGCTTCACTGCGGCATGGTATCTCAGTGAGCTGGCACTGTAAAACCAGCTTTAGTCTGGGCTAGTACAAGCAGCCACACATACACATGCATGCATGTCGTCATATGAGCGAAATATTCTTAAGTACGACATTAAACCCCATTTCACCTCACCTACAATTGTCATAGTACTAAGATTGCTTTGTGTAAGGGAAAATCAAAGGTTGAATATCTAATTTCATTGTTTGAATGGAGAAATTTCAGTATGCAGTTCAATGTTTGATAGTTCACAGGACACTTCAATCACAGTGCAATCAGACCTTAGAGTGTTAACTCTCTGAAATCTGTTGAACTCAGTGAAGATCTAATAACCCATCTATAGGTGATGTCTATCAAACTTCTAATCAGTCAGTCAACATCAAGTTTATATATTTTTCCTTATCCTGACTCATGCTCTTTTGCTTGTCTTCTTCTTCTTGCGAACATAGTGGAACACTTGTATCTCCTTAATTGAAGCTCCCTTCAATGTAAAATCACTAATTGGTACTCACCAAGAGTTGCCTCCCTTGCCCTTTTGGCGGGAACAGGTGTCGCCACCCTCTGGCCTCATGCTTCACTCTCTCCTTCTTCGCCCAGTGAGCAGGATGTGAGAGCGCCTGTGTCTCCTTACACACTATATCCTTTGGTTTTTATTAGTTTATTACCTCTTATAGGTTACTATAGAGGTATAGCTAGTATCCTTCATTAATTTGCATTGATAATTAATCGTGATTTCTACTGTTTATTCACGGAGTTCGTGATTGTTCAGCTAGTATTACGCTGATGAAAATCTGTACTATTTGCAGTTTACGCTTTTCTGTTGCTGACCCGCATGTATTATGCCCTAGTTGTGCTACGCCTTGTGCGCTTGATTCACGCTTGCAGTTACTGCATTAATCTATCTAATTCTGCTTTTCATAAATATCTTTATGCCTTGAGACGCATCGCAGATAGGTCACGCAAACAAGGGTTAGACATGGCCGATACATCGGATTCCCCATCCAGTCAGCTGCTGTCGATCGACCCTCCCGCCTGGTGTTCCGCTAGAGACCCCGCCGAAGAGGGCGGGATGCAGTCCGCCACCTCTAAGAAGCGCCCTGCCTCCCCAGACGCCCTGTCATCGCAGCCAAAGTCCAAGAGGGCCTCGACGCCTTCTCAACGCAGACTTCGACCCCCAGGGCAGCGCCGACCTCCAAGGGAAATCTACGGTCGCCAAGAACTTTCTCAGCCGAGATCGCTCCAGCCGAACTGGGCCTCTCTCCGATGATCAGCCTATCATCATCCCTGACGACGCCACAAGAAGCGCCGGTGACAGCTACAGTGACATCAGCAGAGATCGCCATGCAGCCTGATGTCTCTACACTGATGTCAGACGACTTCCCTGAGGGCTCAGCCGCTGTCATCGCAGAGAGGGCGCCGACTACTTCGTCGCAGACCATCCCAGACGAGCTGTTGCGGCAGATCATGACCATGATGGAGGGCCACTACAGACGGGAGAAGCAGCCAGCCCAGGGCCTGAGCAACGCAGACGACACCCCAGAGGCACCCCCAGTCAGCATAGCAGCCACGACGAAGCAGCCTTCGAGAAGGAAGTCACAGACCACCTCGACGAAGGACCCAGATGTACAGTCTTCGCGAAGACGGGAGAGATCGTCACCGTCCTCGGCCTCATCCTCAGATGCGGACTCAGACCACCAGACATCACGGAAGCCGTCACGGAGGTCAAGGCGCCGCTCCCCAGGTCCGGACGCAGAGGAAGCTTCACGCGGCCATCACACAGATCGTCATCGCCCAGAAGGACGCCGAGGGACTACTCAAGAGCTTCGCGGAGCTATCAACATTCTCCTCGCAGATCTCCGAGAAGGTCATCCCATAGACGCAGATCACCTAGACGATCTCCACGCCGTTCACCACGCCAATCTCCGCGTACATCACCACGTCGATCACCTCGCAGGTCACCACACAAGTCTGCACACAAGTCTACAGTCAGGTCTCCCCAAGCGTCACCCGACATAGAGATAGCAGCACACAGTTCACCATCAGAAGGGCATCAACCTCTCATCACCGATGCTGGTACAGAAGATGATGGAGGCATCATTTTCTCAGACGCTGAGATAAGATATTGGATGGTAAACAACCTAGATTTATCTTCACCGTCCAAGAGTGGCAACTCAGCGCAGACATACCTGATGAAGGAAGACGATGCAGACGTCGTCACCCTACCTCCGATCGACCCGATTGCTGCGGTGCCACAGAATCTAGATACAGCCTTCCATAAAGCCACGAAAGTGCAGACACCACATCTGCCGAACTTTCACGCTAAGAAGTTCTCCACGCACAACATGGACCCCTTCCTGAAGGCACAAGACATCGATGACAACTACAAGCTGATCAGCGATGTTAAGAACAAGAACTACAAGATTGACGATCGCAAGTTGGTGCAGATAGAAACCATGACGAGACGATGTTTTTGGCCTAAATAGATCTAGAACGATCAATGAGACACTTATCACCAGATTTCGTTAATACGACATCTGAAGATGATAGGATGATCTACTCGCCCCTACTGATGCAAAAGAAGGACCAGCAGTTCCTTACAGATCATCTCACATCTGTCTCAGCAGCTGACCTTAGCTCGTCGTCAAGGCCTCCTCGCTTCCTGCAGCTGGGCTGAGAACTTTACAGCTCCACTCTATACAGCCCCGCGTGGTCTTCCCCATCCATCTTTGACGGAGGAATAGACAAAGTCTCCAAGGAAGTCACTAAGGACTCCAGAGAAGTCCTTATGATCAAGTCGATGGACACGCTTAGCCAGCGCCATCAGGCAGACTTCACAAAGATACTCAGGGAGATCTAAGTTCTCGACTACAGAAAGCACGGGATAGGAAGATAGCCAGCCAGGGGAAAAGATTCTTTTCGCCTATAGAGGCAACTCAGGAGGGTCAGGAAGAGGCAGGACACCCAGAGGTTCCCCGCAACTATAAACGCTGAAAGACAGGTTCGAACGACTGGAGTCTTCCACCCCAGCCGCTCCAGTACAAACGCCACAAGTGGGTGGACGCCTCCAACTACACTGGGAGAACTGGGGAATGTTACAAGACCCTTATGTCTCCAACATTCTTCAACACGGATTTCAGATCCCACTACAGGCCACGCCCGCTGACAGTCAACCCTCACAAGTTCGACTTTACAGGCACAACAACTACCAAAGTTAAGAGAGGCTGTTACATCACTCATAACCAAGCAGGCCATAGAAGTACTAGATCAAGTAAACATCGAACCAGGCTTCTACTCCCCAGTTTTCCTAGTACCCAAGAAAACTCCAAGGAGAAATACAGACTCATTTACAACATGAGCTTTTTCAACAGGAATTATCTACGCGAAACCACCAAAGTTTCGCGATGATACACCTACCTCAGTTACGCAGTTGATTCGCCCCATGGATTACATGGCCAGTATAGATCTGCAAGACGATATCTACACATCCCGATACATCCCTAATCCAGGAAATATCTCAGATTTACACTAGACGGGCTACATTACCAATGGAAAGTACTCCCATTCGAATATCATCAGCCCCTGGCTATTCACGAGGATAACGAAACCTATTGTCACCTATCTACATCGCCTAGGGCTACGAGCGCGCTTCTACCTCGACGACGGGATACAAGTAGATCAAGATCCACAGCCTCTCAAACTACAGTTAAACTACATCATAAAGCTACTAACACAGCTAGGATGGTTAGTAAACTTACTCAAGTCGGACCTAGTACCATCGCAAGATCTGCAGTTCCTAGGCATTCGATTTATCACTTAATCTCAACCGTTCGTCAGACAGAGAAGACCGCTGGCTCAAGATCCAACAGACCATTCCGCCAGTTCTACTCTCTCGCTACCACTACGACAATGGCAGAGCTTGTTGGGTCTCCTCACATCAGCCCAAGACATGACAGTCAGAGGCAGATTACAGTTACGCCCGCTACAGGTCTTCATCAATGCACATCTCGACGACCTACAACCATTCAGTCTACCAAACATCTCAGACCTCATCTACTATGGTGGACCAGGAGGTCGAATGTCCATGGCTTGCATTTGTTTAGCAGAGCAGGAATTCAAAACCCATCTATATGTAGACGCTGCGCCCAAGGTTGGGGAGCTCATCTCGCCAACCGACGGCATCAGGGTTATGGAATCAGCAAGAAAGCAAGCTCCATATAAACATGTTAGAGATGAAAGCTGTAATCAACCCCATACTTCATTGGAGCACCATTCTACAGAATGCGACTTAATGATTCATACCGACAACTCGACAGTGGCGCTCTATGTGAACAAACAAGGCTCAACGAGATCACTGAACCTATTGACTTTAAGCTTTCAACTGTTCGATCTAATCCACGATCTAAACCTACATGTCAGAGCATGTCACATTCCCGGAGCCAAGAATGTACTAGCAGACGCACTCTCTCGGCCACATCAACCGTCACCGACAGAATGGATGCTCAATACAGAAATATTTGCACAGATAATCAAGCAAATAGGATCGCCGCTAGTAGATCTATTCGCCACACGCTTCAACAATCAGCTACCGACATTCGTGTCACCAGTCCCAGACCCACAAGCATGGGCAACGGACGCTCTAAGCATATCCTGGGAAGGCCTCAATGCGTTCCGCCGCCAGCAATAATACCTCAAGTGTTACAGAAAATCAGACAAACACAGAGCCTCCAACTCACTTTCAAGAAATCGGTCAACCAACACTAGAGCTACCCAAGCGATCAAATCTATTAATACATCCACACACCAAACAGGTGCACGGAAGCCCAGAAGTATTCCAACTTCACGTATGGACTGTATTAAAATGTGTTTAAACAAGAGAGGATATTCTACCAGGGCGGCAAAAGCGGTCACGCTTGCCTTACGCAATTCTACACGTAACTTGTACGACGACAAGTGGCACAGTTTTGAAAATTACGCAGCAAATAAGGGATTTACAGCGAGAGATGCTACTCATCCACAAGTGGCAGATTATTTGTGTTACTTACGGCAAAACAAACATTTAAAAGGCTCGACATTGTCAACATATCTTGCCGCTTTAGTTCTGTGATTACTATGAGAACGGGTGTCAAATTGACTAAAACTCCAGAGTTACTGGCCTTACTACGTGCTTTCCGATTGAGGACCAAAGCGAAGTTCCACTTCCAGCTTGGGATCTGAATATAGTGCTACAACACCTCACAAGTGAGGCTTATGAACCGTTGGAATCGACAACTTTGAATTTCTCTCACAGAAAACGCTTTTCCTGTTATCTCTAGCCACAGCAGCCAGGATGTCAGAAATTCACGACTAGATTATGAGAGGATACAGTTTGATGACAATCAAAACACAGCACACCTGGGACTAAGATGGGATTTCATCGCCAAAAATCAACTACCAGGTCAACCAGACAGGTTATTCCATATCCCTGCACTATCCTCGATTCTCGGATCTCAAGATACACTGGACTTATCTCTATGCCCAGTCAGAGCTCTCAAAATCTATTTACGACGCTCCAAAACAAGGCTTAAGATTTCTCAAACGATTATTCATCCCCCTTGTCGGCAACAACTCAGACAGAAGTCTCTCACTCACCATATCTATATGGATAAGAACTGTCATACTTCGCTACTACAAGGCAGCAGGACTGGACCCTCCAACAGCATCAAATCCCCATGAGATCAGGGCATTGGCTTCCACTCTCGCCCTACACGGTAACTGTTCATTGAATACAATTATGGAAGGATGCTTTTGGAAATCTAACATGGTGTTTGCTAATCACTATCTGAGAGATATCACCACCGAGGACGCCTCAGGTATTCACCATTTCGTCCCTTGGTCCTCGCGACAGCAGTTGACAGTCCCTCAGAACGCTAACACGAGTCTTACGAGATTAATATGCATAATTGATACATGCATTATCTAGCTTATAACTCTACGGAGTTCTAGCACTATGTATATACTTAGCTTAGGTCTACTCACCCTTAAGCTTTTACTGATGATTATGTTCAGTTGTATAGCTTCTCTATCAGAGTCGCTTTGATATTGTTATTTGATAATATCACAGTATATTATTATTGTAAATACCCCAGTATGGCAAAATATAACCTATGGCTTATAATAGAGGAAATATCCTAAGTCTATGCCTTTATGAAGTTCCCGTAAGGGGTTATTACAGTTATATCTATATAAATCACTAATTCTATAAATCCAAAGTATTCTGTTTTGCCCACCTCCGCTTCCTGAGGGATTCTACAAGTTAAAGAGCATGAGTCAGGATAAGGAAAAATATGTAATTTTAGAGTAAAATTGATATTTTATACTTATCCTGACTCATGAGGTTAGCCCTCCCATCCTCCCCACATAACACTTTGGATTTCCCTGTAAATTCAAGTGTTGGGCTCGCAAAATCAGGAGAGAGTGAAGCATGAGGCCAGAGGGTGGCGACACCTGTTCCCGCCAAAAGGGCAAGGGAGGCAACTCTTGGTGAGTACCAATTAGTGATTTTACATTGAAGGGAGCTTCAATTAAGGAGATACAAGTGTTCCACTATGTTCGCAAGAAGAAGAAGACAAGCAAAAGAGCATGAGTCAGGATAAGTATAAAATATCAATTTTACTCTAAAAATTACATTTTCAGCATCATATCTGATTTCTGTATTTAGAAAATGACCTAGAACGACTAGTTCTAAATACAAAGTAATATACACTGTTCCTATTACCTGATAGCCGGACCGCCTCCGTGGTGTAGTGGTTAGAGCGTCCGCCCGGAGAGTGGATCCCGGCCACGTCATACCGAAAGACATTAAAAAGGGGTAAAGGTTGGTCCCTGTCTGGCGCTCGGCATTTATGGGTACAACAAGGACTGGTCGGCTCGGAGTCAGTATAATGTGTCTGAGTAGGGTATTCATGCTTAATTGTGGCATGGTATCTCAGTGAGCTAGCACTATAAAGCTTGAGTCTGGACTAGTACAAACATACACACATACACACACATGCACGTCGTCAAATGAGGGAAATATTCTCAAGTACGACGTTAAACCCCTTTTCACCTCACCAAGTCACCTGATAGCCAGTCAAGTTGCTGTTGCTAGAAGCTTCAGTTGGCTTGTGGCAGTGTTTTAGATGGCGTCCAAATGTTGGTGGAAAGCAGACTTTAAATATCACTTAAAGTGTCACTCTCTCACCTTTTTCTCCATGTTTCTTCACAGACCAGTAGTTTTCACAGTAGACAGTGATCAGACTTTCGAGGCCAGCTTTGTACTGGCGACATTAGCAGAATCAGAGCTTGGAGCATCACAGCAGCCGTCTCAAGTCCGTGGGAAGAAACAGACAAAACAGAATAACAGGTGGGTACACTGAGAGACATTTCCTTCAACGTAAGGTCCGCATGGAAGCTACATCATGCCTAAGGCATGGTTTCAGTTCCCCACAAGGTGCAATGTGTGTAGTCCATTTCTGGTGTCCTCTCAAAATACTGCCTCGCGGAAGGTCGCGGGTTCGATCCCTGACCGCGTCATACCAAAAAGACGTTAAAATATGGTACTTGTTGGTCCCTGCCTGGCTCTCGGCATTAATGGGTACAGCAAGGACTGGTCGACTCGGAGTCAGTATAATGTGTCTGAGTGGGGTATTCATGCTTCACTGCGGCATGGTATCTCAGTGAGCTAGCACTATAAAACCAGCTTAAGTCTGGGCTAGTACAAGCAGCCGCACATACACACACACACACGCGCATGCACGTCGTCATATGAGCAAAATATTCTCAAGCACGACGTTAAACCCAATTTCACCTCACCTCTCAAAATATTCCAAAATTCAAACCCATTTGATAATATTTTCACAACGATTATCAGTCATGTCTTTATGAGATCATGAATGCAAACTATGACTAACATACACTAACTGAATTGTGGCAGGATGTTTCAAAATGTTTCATGACTGGAAGTGACAACAGAGGACATAGATAAAGGGAGGTAACTTTGGATATCCTACTCAGTAGACAAGTCAATGACAAGGGTTGAAATCCTGCTACTGAACCAGCTTCACTGGCACACATACTGAGGAGCCACGGACCTCCATGGCCACTTCCAGATGGGAATGTTACACTATACATTCCCAAAAGTTGAAAATTCTACAATCAGGATATTTAAATGTTACATTCAATGCTAATTTGAAGCTATTTTGTGTGCTTGTCAGTGGCAAGGCTGTAGGAAGTTGATGATAGAGATACTATGTTGTGCTTTATTCTATGAACAAGATAGTCCTAGGTTTGGATACCAGTGTGTTGGACTCCATACCACTTTGGCAAATTCTTAAAACAGATGAAAAATACAGCAGTATTTGGGTTTAAGTATGTTATAACACGTAATTTCATTGGCTACCAGGTTCAAAAGAATTAAGCCACGCCCACATGGTGACTACATTTTTCTGATTGACTGACAATAAAGTAGGTAATTTATTGCACTGAATGATGTCGACGATCAGGGGTCATTTGGTACAGGTTTTTTATGTTAATTAAATAAGCTATCTGTGAATTTATTATGAGATATTTTTAAGAATTTACTTGCTAAGTTTGCACACTATCTTTAGATTAATGCTTGAATAAATGCAAACCCACTCCATGCTAGAGTATTGACAAAACAGCTTAAAACCTGTCCAAAACACAAGCAGTCCACATGTGTGTAATTTTGAGGATCGTTGATCATATTTCACTTTGATGAGAGGGCCTGGAAGCAAGAAATTTAAATTACCATTTTTCTCGTTGTAGCAAAAGGTCATATGCCAGCCAGAGTCAAACCCAGAGAGGAGGTCGGAGCAGGCTAACACAGAGTACCTCTTCTGTGTCCAGGCTGACCAATGGTGTGTCACATCACAGGTAGGTTATGTTGGTCATATTGATGGTCAAGATTGATACTTGCGAAAATTAGGACATGTTTATACACTTTTAAATCATGCAAGTTTATGGCCTGATAAAAATGTTCGTCATATCAGCAGCTTAATGATGAAACACGTGTCTACATTTAAATTTCAGGCTGGTGAATTATTTTGTGGGCTAGTAACTTTCAGGCATAGATAGCCGACTGGCTAGCAAAATTTGGAAACAATTTCACACACTGACAATGGGTTAAGTGTATCTGATGTCCCCCAACTTTGATATTTCTTGGAATATCACTAAAAGTGGTGTAAAATCTTGTTCACTCTCTCACGTTCAGACCAAACACCAGCTCAGACAGACAAGCTGAGGGAGACATGGATAACACAATGGATGCTGAGGTAGAAATTAATGAAGCAACTATCCATCATACCAATGCCATGGAAACAGAACAGCCAATCACAGATGGTCAGCAGCTGGGGTCAAAGTCACCTAAACCATCAGGGTCAACCGTGAGTGACCCCAGCCCTGTAATTCCAGTGCAGAGTGAAAGACAAACAGTGAGTTATTTCCCTTTCTGTCCTTGCCTGTTTTATGAGAGGGATTCTGTTGTGATAATATATTACTCTCTCTCAGTATCCTGAAAGTCTAAAACCCTTACGATGATTGCTGTAGCATGAGACATCCTTCATTATCAAGTCTTCCATTGCGAAAATGATGTTGTTGCAGGACACAAGGGTTCCAGCAGAGGAATCGGTACTTCAAGATGTGGAGGAGGATGAAGACGAGGAGGAGGAGGAGCTGGTCCCTGGTACTCCACCAAGCAAGAAGGTAGGCGATGGTTCTGCAAAAATCTTTGGCTTGCAGTAGGCCTGGCTATCAATATAGATCGTAGAGATTGATAATCGTTAACTAAATATCAATAAATTGTTGATAAATATCGGATAACCTTGAGCAGAAATGCCTAAAAAAGTCTGAAAGAACTAAATATGTTTGCCACCGCTGGTGAGCAGTGACATGTTAATGCATGGGTTATTAACAAAACAGCACCCTGAACATAATTTAGAAGCAGACCATGAAAAAAGTGAGTGAGTGAGTGAGTTTAGTTTTACACCAAAATTCCAGCTATATGGCGGCGGTCTGTAAATAATTGAGTCTGGACCAGACAATCCAGTGGTCAACAGCATGAGCATCGATCTGCTCAATTGGGAACAGATGACATGTGTCAACCAAGTCAGCGAGCATGACCATTCGATCCGGTTAGTCGCCTCTTACAAGCATGGGTTACTGAAGATCAATATTCTTCTAACCCAGACCTTCACCAGTACCTATAAATATAAACACCTAACTTTGTGTATTGTGTGAGTAAATTAAAACTTTATTCTGTCACAAACGTTAATTTATGATATTATCGATGGCACTATTTTTTTATATCGATAATCATCAATATATTTTCCTATCGATGACATTTCTGATTATCTACCATTTTAGCTAGCCGTAACTTACAGTCTACCTTCAGTAGTCCGGTTCACTCTTCATACCAAAGACCTGGGTTCGATTCCCCAGATAGGTACAATGTGTGAAGCCAATTTCTGGTGTCCCCTGCTGTGATATTGCAGGAATATTGATAAAAGTCGCGTAAAACCAAACTCACTCACTCAGTAGTCTGGACTTTTTGAACAATGCTGTGTGTGTTTTGTCCATGTTTGTTGTAACTATTTCTATGGTACAGGTGTACCCTGGGTTTAACAGTCTGCCTTATTTCCACAGTTCCGCTCACTGTTCTTTGGCCTGTCTCAGTCCCAGACCACGCAGAGTCAAGCTCCGTCCACCAACGTTCTGGCAGCAGACACAGATGAAGAGGACTAGGATGTCCGACAACAGTTTTAACTCCAGACTTGTCATCATGCATGAAATTAATGACAGTTTTAACCTCTGTACATAATTGTACAAAGTCACTGTTAATATATCAATTAATGTTGTACAGATTCATTAAACCATGTTAAACAACAAAGCATGGTTTTTATTAGACAGTAGGACCCCCTTGTCCATGCTAGCTGTCCTGGCAGTCTATGCTTATTGCACAAGGCAACGTTTGGTTGACTAAGTCACATTTCATTGTAACTTAAGGCCAGACCAATTATATTTCTTGTTTTATGGATTCCTTTTAAATATTCACAGTATTTTACTTTTGGCAATTTATGAAGTGTATATGGGGCAAAATACAATCTAAAAAAAAATTCTTGTAAGTTTATATTTTTGACCAATAAAAACATTAGGATTTATTTTTTGAGCAGGGAAAATTAATTATATTTTTTTTCTTATTCTTGAAAAAATAAGACAGGCAGATCCGTAAAACAAGAAATAAAATTGGTCTGGCCTAATGGTGTGGATCTTGGCTGGAATATTTTTCAGACTGCCACTGGTGTGAGTGCATGAGGTTTATGTACACCCTACCACTGTCTGGTACTTGTGGTGTTCAGACTGACCAGGCACAGGGTTGTACTACATGTAGCACACATATTTAAGCTAGAAACATTTGTGTGATGTAAGCTTAGTGCCTATATCCCAGTCACTGCTACAAGGCCTTCACTTGATTCATTAGCAAACACTAGTGACTCCACCACATAGCACCTGTTTGCCTTCATGATGACAGAGGAGGAGGGGACAGTTCACAGACCTGTGAAGATGGCCGATTTCACATCTGATTCGACTGCAGAAGGAGAGCCTAATATATTTACATTACTTTAACTGAACTATTTTATTTGTTTGCTGTTTGGCGCTGCACTCTGGAATATTCCAACTATATGATGGCGGTCTATAAATAATCAAGTCTGGATAATGATAAACAAGTTTGTTAACGTCGGCAATTTTCCAGCTAAATGACCGTTGGCCATAATAAAGTCTGGACCAAACAATCCAGTGATCAACAGCATGAGCATCGATCTACACATAGGGGGATACAAATTACAATGACACATCAACTAAGTCATCATGCCTGACCAACTGATCCCATAAGTCACCTATTTTGACAATCATGGGTTGCTGAAGACCAAGTCTAACCTGGATCTTCACAGGTGAAAATAAGCATTGCAATGGCTGATGCTGTTATGTTATCTCTGCCCCGTGCTTCATCACTCATGTTGGACTCATGCCAGGAAACCCATAGGCATGATTCCTGATAGTCCACTATCACTTCCAGCATTTAAGGCGCGATGGGGTAGCCTAGTGGTTAAGGCGTTGGCTCGTAACGCCGACGACATGGGTTCGATTCCCCACATGGGTACAAAATGTGTGAAGCCCATTTGTGTCCCCAGCCATGAAATATTGCTGCAATATTGCTAAAAGCGGCGTTAAAACCATACTCACTCACTCACTTCAGCATTTAAAGACCCGTGAAGATCCGGGCTAGAATTGGTCTTCAGTAACCCATGCTTGTCATAAGAGGCGACTAACGGGATCGGGTGGTCAGACTCGCTGACTTGGTTGACACATGTCATTGTAATCAATTGTGAAGATCAATGCTAATGTTGTTTGTCACTGGATTGTCTGGTTCAGACTTGATTGTTTACAGACCGCCGCCATGTAGCTGGAATATTGCTGAGTGCGGCGTAAAACTAAACGCACTCACTCACTCCAGCATTTAAAAACAAAGACAGTGATATCCATGATTGAAAATCTGGTTTATTTGATATCAACATTCACCTAAACAATCCAAGCACACCAAACTGATGTAAATAAAGTACAGGGTAGCATTCACAAAGTCTCAAAAAGATATCGACAGTCCAAGTCCAGCCAATCCATTCGGTCTGTGACTCATAATGAATTCATGAACACAAACATGTATCTCGCTATTTACACAAGGCATGATAATGGTAAGGATGATGAATACATTCATGTCCATTGCTATGTACAGGCTGAAATGCTCGACTTGTTCTGTGAATATAGCCATGCTTATTGGTTCTCTCACCTGTTAAACCAAATCACAAATATTCCCTTTTTGAAAGGATGAGATTTTTAAGGATAATAACATAGCATCAACATAGTTATCAACTTAACTGGGACAGTGACTTAGGCTACACATTTTTAAAAATATGGTTTGCAAATTTTCACTAACCATACTGCCAGTTATGATAGTTTGGTCAAAATAATAAAAACTATTTTACGATTTGCAGGTACTGTGTTCAAAATAATGGCCCTTCTACACCTTAATGCAAGAGGCAGATTGTGCTTTCTGGTGAGGGATATGTTCACAAAGCAATCTTTATGCATCACGTTTCATAATTGATGAATGCAAGAGCCCTTGTGCTAAGACTGCTTCATGAAACTGGGCCCTGGGCCCCATAACACAAAGGGATCTTAGTACAACTACCCTTGACCCAACTATCATCTTAGCACTAAGATCATTTTGTAGAACAGGGCCAAGTTTTCAAACTTTTGATTCTCAATGTCAGATATGAAATAAGGACATTTTCCTTAATATTAGAATTTAAATTTACATTTTAATGTTTACTTCCTTTCATCCTGGATAGTGAAACTGTAACGTACCATGATGACATCAGTTTCTATGGTAACTCATCCACTGATGAGCTATTCTACTGCCATACATGTGTACAACTCTACACTGTCAATCCTCAACAACAGGATTATCAGACATCTTAATTGCATTGGACTGCATAGAGACAGAAACTTGCATTCAAAATCAGATTCATCCAATTCTTTCAAACTATTTTTAAATATTTCAAACAATAACTTACTGAATTCGTTTTAATCATGGACTGTTCTAGCCAATATGCCAAATATCAAACAATCCTTTAAACTTTGTTAGGTTAAGCCGAGGTATGTTCCTAAGAATGCATCTTCAAATATAAGTTTGATAAATATATGCATACATTCATGTTTAAACTATGCATATCTTTTTATAACTTTAGCCCAAGGTGGATTCATAATTCTACAAAAGTGGAAGTCAAGCTGTATTTTATAATACTGAACTGAAATGAGACAGAACTAATGTTGTTGTTTTTCATAATTTCAATGAAATAGTTTCCTAACAAAACATTTGCCTTATGGGACCATATGCATTTAAAATGCAGATTTAAAAGAAACAGTTTAATCAAGTTTATTGGAAAAAAATAATTTAGCACTATCAATCTTTTCACTGAAAACAAATATCACATAAGAGCAAATACAAAATTTATATTTAACACCAATCACACCTACAAAAGCTTTCTCACAATTCACATACCTCAAGAGTACTTTTTGACTTGTCAAAAATTTACTTCAGTTCAGCCTTGAATCTAAATGAAATGATATGAAGATAACTAACTGAAAAAACAACATTCTCAGAAAAATCATTTTGAATTTGATACAACACATTTCTACATGAATATCATGAGACTGTCTAATCTGGATGAAGAAAGCAAGGGTTCCTTAGTAAGACATCATTCTTTGTGCTTCATTTCTTTACCAACCCAGATTCAAAAATCGTGATTTGTAGACATGAAAACTCACACAAGACACTTCAAGGTGTAGGTTCCTTGGTGCTCAGATAAGATAGGGTGAATAACTGGAACTATCAGGTAAAAACATCTCATTTAGATCCATGGCCAAATGAAAACAGTAAACAAATATTAAACAGCTGTATGAGGATCTCCGTTCTGATTGGTTATTAAAAATATACTCTTTGACATGGGAAAGGGCATGGTATAATAAGGGCCCATGATCAGCATAATTTCAGAAATTTGTAAATGCTTTAGAAATTGTTAGAAAGGACATTAGATTTGTTTATAGTTGTTTGTATGAAACGGATTTCATTTTCTGCAAACATGTCCTCAGAGGGTGATGTAAATTTTCAGTCTGAGTAAGTGGCACTCATATCGATTATTCTCCTTGTTTGTTTAACATCAGCAATGGCCCAGCTAAATGACAGCAGTCTATGACAGTGTTCGAAATAGCCACTGGCCCGCTAGCCTGTCTGGTCTACACTTGATTATTTACAGACAGCCGCCATAGAGCTGGAATATTGCTGAGCGCGGCGTAAAACTAAACTCACTCACTACTAAAAGACTGGTTTAGAAGTTAGCCATGTGACGATTACAGGACCACTTTGCTGAATACTGCAAATACTTCTTGTTGGCCATTATAACATGTCTGAAAACTGTCAAACCAATAACTGAATGCAATGAAGGACCCTTATTCCATCTTGTCCTCCCTTCCAAATATATCCAGCAAAGAATTTCCACATGCACATTGGTACTTCAGCGTATGAGGATCTGTGAAGATTGTAATGACTACAAACATGCTAACATAAAGAAACAAGGCCCACAAAGCAATCGAGGTGCGACAGACATAACGCTCAGATTGCTCTATAGGACGGTGTCCTGGTTACATCATAATGAAAATAAACATTTTGAAAGACAACGATATATATGACACACTACACACTTAAACGCATGAAACTGAAATGAACTTGTCTATGTATGACTGGATATGAGGTGTGAAAATAGGATGCTAATTAGGGGTGAAATGATACGACTGTGCATCTTGAGTTTTCGCACGATACAATACATAAAGTTTCTTTCTGTACTGAGTGAGTGACTGGTTTTACGCTGCTTTTAGCAACATTCCAGCAATATCACGGCGGGGGACACCAAAAATGGGCTTCACACATTGTACCCATGAGGGGAATCGAACCCAAATCTTCGGCGTGACGAGAGTACACTTGAGCCACGAGGCTACTGATACAGGACAATACTCAAAAATATAAAATATATTAATTGCTACTCTATCAAGACCACCCAGCATTTTTGTCAGTGACATAATTTAAAGCAAGATGGATGTCAATGTCTAAATTCTGAGGAACACGACATTTCAGGTGATTGATGAAAGTGTAAGAATATACTCCAAAACGTTTTTCTCGTAATAAAGAAGGTGACATCCATAAACTGTCGTCTTTATGTATATCACTTCTGGGGCGGTGGGGTAGCATAGTGGTTAAAGCGTTAGCTCGTCACGCCGAAGACCCGGGTTCGAATCCCCACATGGGCACAATGTTTGAAGCCCATTTCTGGTGTCCCCCGCTATGATGTTGCTGGAATATTGCTAAAAGCGGCGTAAAACCAAACTCAGTCAGTCAGTGTATCACTTCTAAATGCCGTTCAAAGTGTCATTATTAGCTTTTAAAGCTCAATACTAAAACTTGCCCCTACAACAGTCAACAGCTAACTTTTCTTCAGAAGTATGTATTTTCAAGAAGTTTCAATACTATTTGCTGTAAACATGCATATCGCGATAGGTAAGATACCGTGACCCTGATGTATCGTTTCACCCCTAGTACTAACGTGACAACCCTGGAACCACGTGCAAAATGTGATCACGTGCTAAGGTCACGTTGTGCACGTCGTCTCCTGGTCTAGAGACATCACTGCTGCCTTTAACAACATAAACTGACACAACATATTTTTCCTGATAAACAAAAGTATGGCTACATTTCAAGGAGTCACAATGTAGAAATTATGTGAGTTTAGTTACACGTTGCCTTAAACAATATTTCAGTTTTAACGCGTCATCTTAATTGGGAGAAAATCCTGAAATAATGCATTACTTTGTATTTGTCATTTAACGATTGGTGAAACCCTAGTACACGGGTTTGTTGCTGCCAAACCTAAACATTTGAGATTTGAACCTACAATCACATGGCATGGCTAAGGGATGCACTAAAATTTAGGGAACCTGGGTCACCTTAGCCCCCTCAAAATTGAGGCATATTCGACCAGTTTGTTAAGACAAAAAATTAGAGATAAGTTTTCTCAGGTCACAACCGTAATGGCCGCACTACTAACAAACACTTACTGCGAACATTGTATGTCAAGAATATTAGCATACATTAATTTCTTAGAATACTTTACTGATCTGTTACAGCAGGTGTGTATAAATTTTAACAAGAGTATCGTGTATATGGGTGATGAGATACAGTAATTATTGCCTTCTTGTCAAGTGTTTTCAACATGTAACCATGGCAACTAGGGATCAGACAGACATCTGTTACAACTTCCATTTTTCTGGAGTAGACTAAAACTGTGCAATGAGATTCTCTCCGGAAAATGAATGAATAACTAAAACAGAAAATTAACTGGTTGATTTTTGCCGCACTGAAAAATATGAAGAAAAATAAAACTAGTGTTTACCTTATTACCCATGGAAATATTATTTTTGAAACAGAAATGGTATACTGTGAACTTCACAACTAGTTACAATGTGTACAGACATCCACGTAAATGACCAGATGAAGCAGCCATTGAATGGCAAATGCAGGCATGGGCGTGACCCTTGACATGTAGGAATGACCCACATTATGTAGGTGACCTATAACATGAGGTCATCACTTTGACCTGTTGGCATGACCCTTGACATGTGGATGTTACCCATGACATGTAGGAATGACCCACACTATGCAGGTGACCTATAACATGCGGTCATCCCCTTGACCTGTTGGCATGACCCTTGACATGTGGACGTGACCCATGACATGTAGGAATGACCCACACTATGCAGGTGACCTATAACATGCGGTCATCACTTTGACCTGTTGGCATGACCCTTGACATGTGGACGTGACCCTTGACATGTAGGAATGACCCACAATATGCAGGTGACCTATAACATGCGGTCATCACCTTGACCTGTTGGCATGACCCTTGACATGTGACGTGACCCATGACATGTAAGAATGACCCACAATATGCAGGTGACCTATAACATGCGGTCATCACCTTGACCTGTTGGCATGACCCTTGACATGTGGACGTGACCCTTGACATGTAGGAATGACCCACACTATGTAGGTGACCTATAACATGCGGTCATCACCTTGACCTGTTGGCATGACCCTTGACATGTGGACGTGACCCATGACATGTAGGAATGACCCACAATATGCAGGTGACCTATAACATGCGGTCATCACCTTGACCTGTTGGCATGACCCTTGACATGTGGACGTGACCCATGACATGTAGGAATGACCCACACTATGCAGGTGACCTATAACATGCGGTCATCACCTTGACCTGTTGGCATGACCCTTGACATGTGGCGTGACCCTTGACATGTAGGAATGACCCACACTATGCAGGTGACCTATAACATGCGGTCATCACCTTGACCTGTATGCATGACCCTTGACATGTTGATGTGACCCTTGACATGTAGGAATCACCCACACTATGCAGGTGATCTATAACATGCAGTCATCACCTTGACCTGTTGGCATGACCCTTGACATGTAGGAATCACCCACAATATGCAGGTGACCTATAACATGCGGTCATCACCTTGACCTGTTGGCATGACCCTTGACATGTGGCGTGACCCTTGACATGTAGGAATCACCCACAATATGCAGGTGACCTATAACATGTGGTCATCACCTTGACCTGTTGGCATGACCCTTGACATGTGGACGTGACCCTTGACATGTAGGAATGACCCACACTATGCAGGTGACCTATAACATGCGGTCATCACCTCGACCTGTTGGCATGACCCTTGACATGTTGATGTGACCCTTGACATGTAGGAATCACCCACACTATGCAGGTGACCTATAACATGCAGTCATCACCTTGACCTGTTGGCATGACCCTTGACATGTGGACGTGACCCTTGACATGTAGGAATGACCCACACTATGCAGGTGACCTATAACATGCGGTCATCACCTCGACCTGTTGGCATGACCCTTGACATGTTGATGTGACCCTTGACATGTAGGAATCACCCACACTATGCAGGTGACCTATAACATGCAGTCATCACCTTGACCTGTTAGCATGACCCTTGACATGTAGGAATGACCCACAATATGCAGGTGACCTATAACATGCGGTCATCACCTTGACCTGTTGGCATGACCCTTGACATGTGAATGTGACCCACAGCATGTAGGAATGACCCACAATATGCAGGTGACCTATAACATGCGGTCATCACCATGACCTGTTGGCATGACCCTTGACATGTGGGTGTGACCCTTGACATGTAGGAATGACCCACACTATGTAGGTGACCTATAACATGCGGTCATCACCTTGACCTGTTGGCATGACCCTTGACATGTGGCGTGACACTTGACATGTAGGAATCACCCACACTATGCAGGTGACCTATAACATGCGGTCATCACCTTGACCTGTTGGCATGACCCTTGACATGTAGGAATGACCCACAATATGCAGGTGACCTATAACATGCGGTCATCACCTTGACCTGTTGGCATGACCCTTGACATGTGAATGTGACCCACTGCATGTAGGAATGACCCACCATATGCAGGTGACCTATAACATGCGGTCATCACCTTGACCTGTTGGCATGACCCTTGACATGTGGGTGTGACCCTTGACATGTAGGAATGACCCACAATATGCAGGTGACCTATAACATGCAGTCATCACCTTGACCTGTTGGCATGACCCTTGACATGTAGGAATCACCCACACTATGCAGGTGACCTATAACATGCAGTCATCATCTTGACCTGTTGGCATGACCCTTGACATGTGGATGTGACCCATGACGTAGGAATGACCCACACTATGCAGGTGACCTATAACATGCGGTCATCACCTTGACCTGTTGGCATGACCCTTGACATGTTGATGTGACCCATGACGTAGGAATGACCCACAATATGCAGGTGACCTATAACATGCAGTCATCACCTTGACCTGTTGGCGTGACCCTTGACATGTAGGAATCACCCACACTATGCAGGTGACCTATAACATGCGGTCATCACCTTGACCTGTTGGCATGACCCTTGACATGTTGATGTGACCCATGACGTAGGAATGACCCACAATATGCAGGTGACCTATAACATGCGGTCATCACCTTGACCTGTTGGCATGACCCTTAACATGTTGATGTGACCCTTGACATGTAGGAATGACCCACAATATGCAGGTGACCTATAACATGCAGTCATCACCTTGACCTGTTGGCGTGACCCTTGACATGTAGGAATCACCCACACTATGCAGGTGACCTATAACATGCAGTCATCACCTTGACCTGTTGGCATGACCCTTGACATGTGGATGTGACCCATGACGTAGGAATGACCCACAATATGCAGGTGACCTATAACATGCAGTCATCACCTTGACCTGTTGGCGTGACCCTTGACATGTAGGAATCACCCACCCTATGCAGGTGACCTATAACATGCGGTCATCACCTTGACCTGTTGGCATGACCCTTGACATGTTGATGTGACCCATGATGTAGGAATCACCCACAATATGCAGGTGACCTATAACATGCGGTCATCACCTTGACCTGTTGCATGACCCTTGACATGTGAATGTGACCCATAGCATGTAGGAATGACCCACAATATGCAGGTGACCTATAACATGAGGTCATCACCTTGACCTGTTGGCATGACCCTTGACATGTGGACGTGACCCTTGACATGTAGGAATGACCCACACTATGTAGGTGACCTACAACATGCGGTCATCACCTTGACCTGTTGGCATGACCCTTGACATGTGGCGTGACCCATGACATATACACATAACATGACATACGAGCATGACCCATGACACAATGTGTGGGCATAACCAATGATGTGTGTTCATCAAAGTGGGACAGAGCTAAATAACAATCAGAAACTGAAAAACCTAGATCATCTTACTGGCAAGACTGAATCGAGTATCTTATCCAAGGTGTGAACAAACTTATAGTATTGATAGCCAGTTCCACAAAATCATCCTCCAGCAACAAAGCGTCTTAACATATGCCAAGAACTGAAAATACAAAGTGGGTGAGTGCGGGTTTAATTCTGCTTTGAACAGTACTTCTTTTCTACCATATCATTGCAGCTTTCATGTGGAAGGAATACAATATTCAAAGAACCAAAAATACAGTGAATGTGGGTTTAATTCTGCTTTGAACAGTACTTCCGTTTATATACTCATAGAAACAAATAAGGGAACAAATGAAAGTACAAGTGTTCCTCTATTTATTTCCAGAATTTCACTCACAGTGCGATTCATACCTTGTGAAGAAACCTGGAAAAAATATAGGAACACTTGTACTTTCAAGTGTTCCCTTATTCCTTTCTATGAGTATATGATGGCAGCTTCATGTGAAAAGAATATGTATACATTTTTTTAATCTGTGGCAAGCTTTGATAAGTTGCCCCTGAGCACCTTATTTCCAAATTATTCACCCATAAAAAGACAGTCTTTGTACTAGATTATTTAGTGAAGCAGGCCCCATACATAATAAGCTCTACTTGTAATTCTTCAAAATATTGACAAGTTACATTGTAGTATAATATATCTCCAAGCATGTCTGAGCATTTTGAGCAAAATAAAAATGATGAATGAAAGTGACAAATGTGTGGAGATAGCATTATGTTGTGATTGTATGTTTATAATATCAAAGGCTATGTAGTCCTTGCTTAGCGATGATACAGTGCAAATACTTTCATATATTTCAGAAATAATATTTACAATGTGATTCTGATGATACAAAGTTATATATGTTTTCTCGATACAAAACTCTTAACAAGTGCCAGTAATTATTCTAAAAATACCAACACAAACATTAAAATGTTGATAACTAATACCTTTAACACGCTCCGTGTGATTAATCCAGAAAATGAAGAACTGTGTGCAAGGATAAAATTCATGCTTATATACCTTATGCTGAGGCATCAAAGTTCAAGCAATATAATGGCAGTTTTTCACATGAGTAAAGCAAAATATACAATATAAAATAAAGTTAACTTTTATGTTTTAAGATTATCTAATCATCATAAATAACATTCACTTACTATCAACAACTGATGTATACATAATTTAAGGAATTAACTTAATAAAACCATCTATATCACATTAACATACCAATTGGGTATCGATTTTTTAGAATCTCAGTTCACAAATCCCCTAAACATGGAAAGCATAAACTTATCTATTTTCAATTGAAATCAGATTATGCAGAGTGATCAATGAATTGCATATTTATCCATGGATTTCTAACATGTAATCTCCTTTGGAAATATCTAGTAGCACCTAACATTCACAACTGTTCTTCATATGGGGAATCAAACCCAGACCTCCGACAGCAGCACTCGTATCTGGGCCACTTGACATTACTCCTGGTATCACGAAAGTGCCCATTTCAGACTGTGTGTTTTATCTGAAACTAGCTTCTAAAAAATCCAAGAGATTTAGGTCACTGATATGCTTGTCTTGTACAGCTGTACAGAATATGGAACAAAATAACGGATTGTTCATAATTTATGGAGGAGGTGGGGTCACCCATTTTGTTCTGGGAAGGTCATCAATTACGTACACACAAACTGCATACTGGTGGGGCAGGGGACGGGGGGAGGCAGCAGCAATTTCATACATAATTTTATTGATCAATTATACTTAAAAAATTTGGGAAGGAGGTGTGTGTTCCACTTACTTTGTACATAACTTTTAGTGTGTGTGTGGGTGGTGGGGTGGGGGTGTCATTCACATTGTACATGCTACTCCCTAAAAATCATCATCACCCCTAGTCATAAATTATGTATGGTCCCTAACAATATTACTGTATTTATTGCATGACTCATCCCCTACAAGGTCACACCACGTTTAGAAAATAAATATTCAACTGATGTTTAGGCCAGACCAATTTTATTTCTTGTTTTACGGATTTCTGTCCTCAGAAAACCTTACGGCAGGAGGGGGAAAATAATATAAAAAATATAAAAAATCACCAGTCAATATTCGTTTTAAATACTAAAAGTATTTTACTTTTGGCAATTTATGAAGTGAATATGGGGCAAAAAAACAATCTAAAACATTTCTTGCACATTTACATTTTGGGCCAATAAAAATATTCAAATGTTATATTTTGAGCGGAGAAAATCAATTTTTATTTTTTTTCTTATTCTTGAAAACATATGACCGGTGGATCCGTAAAACAAGAAATAAAATTGGTCTGGCCTTAGTAAGGTTTGACCTGGACATTTTCATGTTACAATGAGCATACTGTTGAGGAATAAGAAAATCAAACCAATCATTATGTTAAGAAACCAGGAAATGTTTGCTTGCTTTGAAATGTGGATGATTCTTTGATATTACTCTGTAAAGCCATCCTTGACTCTAATTAACAGTATAGAAATAAAAAGGTATTGCATATCAGTCACTTCCCCAACAGAACATGCAGAATTTCCCTATGAAATAGTGAGTGGTATATTGAAAATTTTATAAATACAATGGTATATTTAGCAATTCCCCTTATAAACGATTAATGTTCCCTGGGCTAGGTTTAATACATTAAATAAGGTAATTATGATTGTGAAACTGAAGTAACATCCTGAATACTGAGTGGGAAATAAACACAAACATATTAAACAACTGATTACACTTAAGTACAAAATGCTGCTGTGCTGTTTATTTGTGCATTTACTCCAATATGGTGATATGAAATCAAAAGAATCATATTTCAAACATTTCATCACTTCTCAAGACATTAGTCAAGCCTATCTTGTACTTGCTTGGTATTTTCGCTTTGTTTTTGGCACAGAATCTCTACCTTGGGAAACTGAAGGTAAACAGGTCATGACCCAAAAAGGTCATGGTCAGATCTATAGTAGCCAATCAGATTACACATGCTATATCCTAATTTGTTACATGGAATGCTATTGGCTCACTCTGCTCTATCTCTCAACTACAAACACACACCACACAAACTCCTGACGTAACTGACAGTGTATGGAGCCCTCTGCTAGGTTTCGCCAAGACTTGTCACCCTTGCTACTATCACTGTGATATCGTCGGGTTTTCCACCTGTAAAAATAATAACATTGTCAAGATACTAATAACCTAACAACAAGCAGCTCAATGGAGCCCAAATGCACTCAAGTTAATAAAGTACTAGAATCTGTACTTTACTGAAAAAGTGTAACCCCAAATATATAATGTTTGTTACATTTGACCACTTTCTAAATGGTATTGTGTATTCTGACCTCATTCCATGAAGTGATGCCAGCACTATGACAATAATTTTAAATCCTTTTTTTAGTACAGCAGTACCCAAATGCTAAGATTGCATTGTGGAATAGAACCCTTTACCGGACGTGCCCTTGTATTGAGGCATTTCAAACAAAAACTGAAACAGGGGTCTGAACAAAAGAAATACCTCTGAATTCTATCCCAACATCCATTGCTGACATAGCGAACGGTGACATGTACTCAGGATCAAAGGACAGCTGGTAGGCCTTCTCTGCGATATTACTGGCAGTGGTCTGTACCGTCTCCTCCTTGTGATCCTGGAATAATACATACATGGGACATAATTCAGTTGTCATATGAAAAGCAGACCACAAGAAAATATTGTACTTACAGTCATATTTTTTTTTGTTTTATGCTGCTGTTTGCAATATTTTAGTTATATCATGGTGAAGTTGATCAAGTCAGAGCCGAAACCAGTGCCTGATAGAATGAAGGACACAGAGTCAGCGTTAGAGTGAGGGAGTGAGTGAATTTAGTTTTACGCCACACTCAGCGATATTCCAGCTATATGGCGGCGGTCTGTAAATAATCGAGTCTGGACCAGACAATCCAGTGATCAACGGCATGAGCATCGACCTGCGCAATTGGGAACCGATGACATGTGTCAACCAAGCCAGCGAGCCTGACCACCCCATCCCGTTAGTCACCTCTTACGACAAGCATGGGTTACTGAAGGTTCATTCTAACCCGGACCTTCACGGGTAGTCAGCGTTAGAGGTGACAATCTATCCACATACCAGGTAAGTGATATAGTGGATCTTAGACGACTGATATACTAGGGCTTAGGCAACCAACATACTTGATCTCAGACAAATGACTTACTGGTTCTCAGACAGCTGATACACTGGGTCTTACCCAATAGAATGGATCTTTGACAAATGACTCACTTGGTCTGAGACAGCCAATATTCTAGGCCTTAGCTGATATACTGGGCTTCAAGCAGCTTATATACTGGGTCAGTTATATGATACACCCATTTTTACCAGTGGTGTAACGATTCATCGATAGTATTGATGTTTACATCCTCAACTATGCGATACGAGTGCATCGATACAAAACACATTTAGGCAATATATCAGGATATTTATATCGCGAGGGTCCATGATACATTGATGTATTGCCACAAGAGACGATATATCCCGATAAAACTTAAATACTACTTAAAGTTGTAAGGAGTATTGCATTAGGAATAGGAAATGAGTCTCTTTGAAATTCTTCTGAATTTTAAAAACAAATTGAATTTTAAAAGAATTTGTTTGTGTCTGTTATCTATGTTACATGAACAAAGGAGTTGGTGTATAAGTCACAAAGCCTGAACATTTTACAAACTCTGTGAACTGTAGAATACTTTTCTTCAAGAAATTGAAATATGCAGATATGTAATAGTTGTTTGACAAGTAACATCATTATTTTATTAAAAACTATGAACAATATCTTAGCTTTGTTAAGAAGAGAACAAAGAGAAGATAAAGTTTTGAAAGCAGACTTACCAGGGTTTTTTCCAGTGATTCTGAATTCTGATATAAATGATATTGAGTTGTTTGTGAAAGCATTGGTGTAGAAACACAACTTCCCAGGGGAAACTTCACTTTCAAATTTACATATATTAGATCAAGGCATACTGAATATGTTTGACTGTACTTTCTTAAGCATTAAATGCTGAAACTTTATTAGATGAACAGCTGTTAACGGTAAGTGTATGTGAATGTAACACAAGTTCTCATGTATAATAAATAAAGTTTCTGTCAGTTTATCTACCATATCTGTTCTTTCTTTTAGAAATTGTAAAGTATCGGGATATGTATCATATCGCCACCATTGTATCGTGATGATAATCATCTCGCAGGTTCCTTGCCAATACTTTCATGATGTATCGTCTCGCCTCATTAAACTGGTATCGGGATATATCGTCTCGAAGGTTCCTTGCCAATACTTTCATGATGTATTGTCTCACCTCATTAAACTGGTATCGGGATATATCGTCTCACAGGTTCCTTGCCAATACTTTCATGATGTATCGTCTCGCCTCACTAAACTGGTATCGGGATATATCGTCTTGCCACTTAGACCACGATACACAGCTCTAATTCTTACCTATAAAATGGATCTTAGAATATGACATGCTGGGTCTTGGACAGCTGATATACTGGGCCTTAGAAACCGATATACTGGGGCTTAGAAACTGATATACTGGGCCTTAGAAACTGAAATACTGGGTCTTAGAAAGTGATATTCCAGGCCTATACCTGGCCTAGAAACTGATATATTGGGCCTTAGAAACTGACATAATGGGCCTTAAAAACTGATATACCAGGCCTTAGAAACTGATATACTGGGCCTTAGAAACTGTTATATTGGGCCTTAGACATCTGATATACTGGATCTTACACAGCTGATATACAGGGCTTTTAACAACTAATGTACTGAGTCTAAGACTACTGATATACTGGGTCTAAGACTACTGATATACTGGGTCTAAGACTACTGATATACTGGGTGACAGATAAGTACTATAAGATGAACACATGTAAGTTGTAACACAACCTTGAACATGTTTAAATTTCAAGAGCTACTCAAGTTTTCAAATATGCTGATCCAACACTTATAGGTTGACAATGGTGGACACATAAGAAAAGAGTGCTGATGCAACATTTTTCTGCCTGGTATCAGCTTGAAGTGTACACACTTAGTAGGTGGATCTACTACAAATGCCAACATCACTCATGGCTCCCCTGTGACAAGCCAGTGTAGATACCAGCATGAAGGGTTGTTACTAACACCATGTACTTTAAACATAGTGAAGAAAGCTTCACATTCCACCCAGTGGGTTGGCCATCTAGCCATTCCTAGCCCACTAAAACATGTATCATATCTGTAATATGTTAACAAGACAATCAGTCAGTGTGGCTTCAAACAACTCTTACGTTAATCCAACCATATCAGAGGCAGGGGAACCAGGAATGAGCTGGATTTGTACCCAGGGCTCCTGATAAGGGCCGTATCGGTAGTATGTACGGATAAAAAAATATGCACCATACGGTAGGAAGTACTTTAGAAAACGTAGCAGATACACACCACAGCAATGGCGTACGGTCTTAGAATCATTTACAGACGTATTTATCTGAAACATGTCAATCTGATTTCAAGCAGTGTCCCATCTTTGAATTCACGTGATAGCGACACATTGGGGTTTCCCTTGTCGTGTTCTGGGAATTCCGGTTGCTAAGGACGACACAACTCGGTTAATCTGCAATTCTGTCAAGCTTGAATCATACATGGACAAGTACTTCTTCTAATGAATTAAATTAAATGAAACTGATAGTAATGACAAAAAGGATTACGAATTTACTGGTATTAGACTTGAATTCAGGTTTTCTTTGTTCAGTGTCACTGAGACTTTAACAGTGAGTGAAACACTCATGCATTGATTCCAGTTGTTGAAAACTATAGCATGATGATGATGATGGGAGGAGATGCTATTCACACTTGCTTAATGTTGATTCCAGGACTGAGTCTGAGTTTGGTTTTACGCCGCTTTTAGCAATATTCCAGCAACATCATGGCGGGGGACACCAACTATGGGCTTTACACATTGTACATGTGGGGATTCGAACCCGGGTCTTCGGCGTGACGAGCCAACGCTTTAACCATTAGGCTACCCCACCACCCCCCTCCAGGACTGAGATGAATAGCATATGGAATTAAAGTTGTAGCATAAACCTAACTACAAATGGCATTTAACATAAAATGTTTCAATTGTTCAATTTCAGCTAGAAATAACCAGGCCTTCTGACACATGTTATCATATCCCAATTGCGTAGAATAATGCTCATGATGTTAATCACCGGATTGTCTGGTCCAGACCTGATTAAGGCCTTAAAAAGAAATGTTGAGGTTCCGATTACCCAACCAACCCTTGAATTCTGGTGCCGACCCTATTTTTTTAATTGTTTTTTCCCGGTGCCGACAGATATCGGTCAATCTGATAGAGAAAGTCGATATGATGGCCGCAAATTTGACTGAATAAACAATTACACATTGATACATGTGTTATTAGTTTGTACTTTCCTTCTAAAATATAAATGTAAAAAAAAAAAAATTCTACCTACCTACCCTAAATTTTAAAGAGGTGTAATCGGAACCACAACATTTTTTTCATTTGGCCTAATTACACACAGTTTATTTCCAGTACCTTGTCACACAAACTATAGCTCTGCATGGGGGAATCTATCAGACATTGCAATGTATTATGAGCACAACACCAATCTTTCACTGCAGAACTTATAGACTATAAGTATAACTTCAATGCCAGTGTCTGGGTTATATTGTACATTAATTACACACAGTTTATTTCCAGTGCCTTGTCACACAGACCAATAGCTCTGCATGGGGAAATCAATCAGGCATTGTGAGCAGAACAAAGACCAGAAGCAGTAAGGAGTTAACAGTCGACATTGTACAGAACACGACTATCTGCCATCACAGTGTAACTTGCATGAGTCACCTGAACATGCTGATGCCTATCACCAGTGCAGTTTCAAACATCTCATTTTACCATCGGCATTCAATTCATGTGCAACATAACTTTGAAAACATTATTGGCACAATACCAACACTGATTAATAGCATTTCCAACTGTGCACATAGTAAGCTCTTAAAATGCTTGGGAAAGTGTTGAGTTAGCTAAAATTGTTTAATCATTAACAGTTAAGTGTAAGAGAATGTCTTTTCACGTAGCAGACAGCGAAGGTACACTTCCGCACTGGGACACCAGTCCCAGCAACCTGTTCTGCTTGTAGGTTATATGATGGATTGGTTGGTCAGGCCTGATTTGGATGAACAAGGCCCACAGTATCAATTCACTTGATAGTCTGGTCCAGATATAATGTTTGAGGCCACTATCACAGCATGGGGGAGGTGGGGTAGCCTTTCGGTTTTAAGCTTTTGCTCATCGTGCTGAAAGCCCAGGTTCGATTTCCCCAAGGGGTACAATGTGTGAAGCCCATTTCTGGTGTCCCCCGCTGTGATACAACCCAACTCACTCAGACACTGACTGATGAGCGAGAAGTTAAAAACCAAGCAACTACACAGAAACATCATAATCAAAACCAAACAAACCGGTCGTTGACACCAACTGGGAAATGTGAGTTGATGACACACAAGCAAAGCAGTAACATTTATGATCCTGCAGGTGCCCCGGCCTTTCCTCACTGTTCATCTGTAAACTTATATCAGGGATTTTCCATGAAGCCTGTATTTGAGGGTCCCTGGGAATCATACTCATTATTTTCAGGGGTCCTGGACCACAAAATGGGGGTCCCAGACACTTAAATATTATCATTAATACTGTTATTGTATTGTGTATCATGATCATCACATCAATTACAGTAGTTAAATTGCAAATGATACAATAACCCAGCTAGTAGTAAACTCAGTGATAACTTATTGTTACTTGATTGAATTTTTTACAAAAAGTATTTGGACTTTTTCTGAGTCCCTGTGGACGCGCTAATAAATTTTGTTGAGTCCATTGTTAATGTTTATGCGTATAGGGCGCAGGAATTCGCGTCCTGTAAATCCCTGTCATGTTCTATGTTCATATCATTCAAGTAATCAAAGATTACTCATCTCAAACACATCTGATCCTTAATTTTGATATGGTGTCTTCCTTCATTAGGATCTGGGGTCATCTCCATTGGAAGTCATGTGAACTTTCTAATCTGCCAATCAGCATCAAAGCCTCTTATTTCTTGGTAAAAATGAGCAAAAGCAGTGACTACAGTGAGATCTCAGACCTTTAACCTCACCTATATAAACTCAGTATTAAGATCCCAGCCTTTGATCTCACCCTGGCTATGATGATATTCTCCACTAACATGTCAAAAGTGAGATCACAGGCCTTGGACCTGACCTTGACCTTGGAGATTTTATAACTCCTGTTGCATGTCATTCTTGAAATCTTGAACTCATCTTGACCCTGGTGGTAATCTTCACTTACATGTCATGTCTGACCATTTACCTTGACCTTGACCTTGGAAGTATCCTCACTCCTGTAACAGGTCATCAATGTGATCCCCCATCCTTCGATCTCACCTTGACATTTGAGACATACACTGATAAAATGTCATAAGGGAGATCACTGATCTGTGACCTCCAACTTGACCTTGCAGCTGTAATTACAACTGTAATGTGTCATTAGTGAGAGCCCCATCTTCTAAACTCACCTCGCCTTGATATTGCTGGAATATTGCTAAAAGCGGTATAAAACTCACTCACTGACTCTAAACTCACCTTGACCTTGGAGATATACTCTAGTAACATGTCCTCCTGCATGTTGTCGAAAAGACCATCTGTTCCTAACAAGATTATGTCTCCTTCTTCAACTCCGAATGACGTACTCTCTGCAACCTCAGGGCTGAAATAGGAAATACCTTCTTCACATACAAGAAATGGATTAAAAAAAAGTCAGCCAAGAAACAGAAGTTTTCACTTTTTAAGTATTTGTCATTGCTGCTAAACAACAATTTCTGACTGACTGCCAAGATAAGTTTTGTCAATGTTTGACCTCCACATGAGTGATGATAATTTAAGTTCAAGGTTAGATAAATATAAAATAATTTGAAAACACTAAATAATCTATGATTTATTTAGCTCAAAGTGATTTGGCCAGTCAATTAAGAGAAACAATGGACGCTTATTCTGTCTAAGTGTAAGATGTTAATGTTTTCTATGGCAAGAATAATATTCACTTTCTGCAGCAAGAGGATTTTTTTTTATGTAAAGAAGAGGTTTGCAGTGTGAAAAGAGACTACATACACTACTTTATTTAGACAGTTATCTTTATATCTTTCTTATCCATCAAAGATTTCCCTTAGCAACTTTTCTCCAATCTGTTGAAACCAGAAACTGAAAAAGATATACTGAGCTGATTCCATCTTGCACCCACCTGTCACTGAGTACAAGTCCTTGCTGGTTGGGTGGGGCAACAGCGAGCTGGAAGGGCGTGTTGAAGTAGTGCTGTTGTTCCTGCGACCGATGCACAACCTCGCCTTCACGGATGACAAGGAAGCCACTGTCCCCAAGGTTGGCAGAGTATATCGTCCTCTCCTCTCGATGGAGTGCGACCAGACAGGCGGTACTACTACCTGCATCAAGCAAACACATTTCCATTGACAACTTAGATCAACAATCAGGTGTGGTGTTTATTTAACTTATATAGTGATGAGCTTGCATCTGCTTTTACTCATCAGATCTCATGGTCTTATAGTGCTACTCCTCTGAGATACCATGCCAATGTCTAACATGGGTATCCAACTCAGTCCCAGCAAACACTCTAAGCAAACCAGTCCTTGTTCCATCCCCTTCAATGCCCCACACCAGGCAGGGCAACAATAAGTGTCATATTTTAACATTGGTATGACTTGGCCATAGGGATCAAACCACTGCAGTACACAATGATGGTGATGTTTCCACTCAGGAAGGGCAGTGTTGGATTGCTATCATTGCTATCAGTCGACAACATGCATACAGGATGAAAGATAACCACTTAACTGAGATCTCTTTGAAATACATTTTATTTAGCAATAAAATATATCCCAAAATGCTCTATTATGTTCTACTTAACAATGAAATCCATAAAAAATTTCCCCTTTATCTTTAATGTCAATTTTTATTCCCTGCAATGCCGTTTTGACATGTCTGTAATATTTAAACTAAGACAAAGTAGAAGTGTTAACTGTTAGTGGTGTCTTCTGTATCATTTTCCTTGTGACATGAAACCAGTTGAGCTAACAGCCCATTCAAAAGTCATACATTCTGTCCCATGAATTCCCAGTAACATGAAATCCAGTTGATAACAACACACCTATAATAGATACTTTCTGTTCCATGTAGTTCCAGCTCAAACCCAGTTGAGCTACCGGTAACAACCTCCCCATAAGATTTAGTATCTGTCCCATGAGCTGTTGATATCATGGAAACCAGTTGAGCTAACAACCCACCTATAAGCGGTACTTTCTGTTCCATGTATTCCTGGTTCAAAACCAGTTGAGCTAACAACCCACCTATAAGCGGTACTTTCTGTTCCATGTATTCCTGGTTCAAAACCAGTTGAGCTAACAACCCACCTATAAGCGGTACTTTCTGTTCCATGTATTCCTGGTTCAAAACCAGTTAAGCTAACAACCCACCTATAAGCAGTACTTTCTGTTCTATGTATTCCTGGTTCAAAACCAGTTAGGCTAACAACCCACCTATAAGCGGTACTTTCTGTTCCATGTATTCCTGGTTCAAAACCAATTAAGCTAACAACCCACCTATAAGCGGTACTTTCTGTTCCATGTATTCCTGGTTCAAAACCAGTTGAGCTAACAACCCACCTATAAGCGGTACTTTCTGTTCCATGTATTCCTGGTTCAAAACCAGTTAAGCTAACAACCCACCTATAATAGATACTTTCTGTTCCATGTAGTCCCAGCTCAAACCCAGTTAAGCTAACAACCCACCTATAAGCGGTACTTTCTGTTCCATGTATTCCTGGTTCAAAACCAGTTGAGCTAACAACACACCTATAAGCGGTACTTTCTGTTCCATGTATTCCTGGTTCAAAACCAGTTAAGTTAACAACCCACCTATAAGCGGTACTTTCTGTTCCATGAGTTCTTGGTAGCTGGCAGCGATGACCGTGGCCGGAGCCTGTGGACGGGCTTGTGGACGGAAGCAACCCTCCTGGACCATACGTTCACATGTCGCCATGAGGATGCGAGGGAACGCTGAGGGGTCAATGCCATAACTTCGCCACCCACCAACGCCATCGGCTACCCCTAAAGAGAGAGAGAGAGCAATAAGCACCACCTGTCATGCAAATAACAGTCTGACTATGAACCATCATCCCCAAAGGGACATTTCATAATGAATTGCTTATTAAGCAAATTAGGATCCAACATCAAGATCCTCACTTAGGAGATTGCAGACCAACATACCAATGTATTTTTTCAATTGATTGGTGCATTTTTTCAGCACCAAACCAAAGCTGCCTGCTTTGACATCCAGCAAGTCAATTCCCATAGCAACAGATGTTGTGCAGTGTGGCAATATTTCAACCAAAAGCAGCAAGTATTCAGGAATTTCCATGTATCGGCTCTATTAAGAACCCACAGATGTTAACATTTACACTACACTGCACTATATATGTGGTATATATACACTAAAAACATCAAGAAGTGAGTGAGTGAGAGAGTTGGGTTTTACCCCTCTTTTAGCAATATTTTAGCAATATCACAGCAGGGGACATCACAAATGGGCTACATTGTACCCACGTGGAGAATTGAACCTGGGTCTTCGACGTGACGAGAACGGTTTAACCACTAGGCTACCCCACCACCCCCATAACATCAACAAGACTGTGTCACTGAGGGCCAGGAAAATACAGTTTAATCCTGGACTCCATTTCTCCGTAGATAAGGCAGAACATAGCAAACAGCGATCTTCGACTGTGCAAGGAGCTCAAACAAAACATGACGCACATAGAGAATGCGGATCTAACTCAGCCATTAATTTTTGACATTGAACACACTTATTTTGTGACATGGCGGGAAAGATCAAAAAGGGCTGGAAAATTCCTAAACTACACAAAAGTCAAAAATTTTCACAATAAGCATAAAAGAGTCACAATGTGATTGTCTGGTGACCAAATGCGATCTCTACTGACCGTATACTGTACTGATAAATCTGTAAGATTAAACTTGACAATAAACCTCTTCCACTCTCACATGCCCGCGTGTGACCATACAGAAAACATTATGAAGGTGTTCAAAGAACAATGCTGTGACGTCACAGCTAAGGGAGATAACCATGTAGATATTTAGGCATACTACTAGGGATAGCTATGACTTAGAATTTTTTTAATCTCTTTAATTCTGTATGTATCTGTGTCACCCACAGGAAACTGATTACCATAAATCCAGAGGAAACGTTTACGACATAAGTAGACTCATTCATTATTTTCTGAAGGGGGTGGTGGGGTAGCCTAGTGGTTAAATCGTTCTCTCGTCATGTTCAATTCCCAACATGGGTACAATGTATGTAGCCCTTTGTGGTGTCCCCTGTTGTGATATTGCTGGAATATTGGCATAAGACCCAACTCATTCACTCACTATTTTCAGTATTGCTATAATATTGGCATAAGACCCCACTCATTTACTCACTATTTTCAGTATTGCTATAAGGGCTGTTATCAGAAGTTAAAACTGGTTTGGCCTAGTTGCTAAATTAGCAGACAGCTCATATAAGTTTGTATGGTCTGATTGTGTGGATGATGTTTGATGTTTGTAATGATCCAAGGTAGAACAAGCATTGACACTAAGGTGACATAGTCCCCCTCCACAAATTATCAAATCAAACTTAAAAAGTAATGAAAGTGAAGGTTGTAGTTTAAGATGAAGTTAAATGTCAAAAAAAGCATGACCAGTCAACCTGCACCTTCTCTAGATGAAGGTTAGTGTCAAATATAAAGAGAATCCAGTGAATGGGTCTTGAGGTATCTCGCTGACAAGCTTAACATGCAGGTTAACATGCTGAAATCTTCAAAGTGTTGCTGTGATCTTGAAAACTACATGAAGGTCATCAAAATTGACTGGGCCCTGGGCCTTCCCTAGATGTCAAATATGAAGAAAATCAAGTGATTGGTACTTGAGATATCTCGCTGACAAGCTTAACATGCAGCTTAACATGCTGAAATCTTCAAAGTGTCGCCGTGACCATGAAAATTATGTGAAGGTCACCAAAATCGACTGGGCCCTGCGTCTCCCCTAGATGAAGCTTGGTGTCGAATATGAAGAAATCAAGCGAATGGTTCTTGAGATATCTCGCTGACAAAGGTAAAACGTTAAAGTCCCCTTGTGACCTTGAAATGAAGGTCAAGGTCACCAAACCTGACTGGGACATTTTGCATACTGTGATGAACCTAGGTAACAAATATGAAAAGAATCTAGTCAACACTTCTTAAGATATTCCAATTCGAACGTACAGACGGACGTACACGGTGTCAATGTGTCAATGTCCAGTTATGGTGTGGGTCACTGCTCAGAACATCAACCATTGAACCATTGTCGGGTCCATACTCACACATACATCTTTACTGGAAGACATGTAGCTGGAATACTTCTGAAAGCAAATTTTAACAGAAATTGCAAGGATATTTATTTTCGTGCCAAATGTGAGTCTCCTTAAAGTCCACATTTTCATGAATGCGCCAGAGTTTTACACCAGAAACATATATCATGAATCATTTTGACTTGACCTCATCAGTAACCAATTGTGATAGAATATTTTTATCGCTCACAATATGCAGATTGATAATCGGAGCTCGGTAGTCGATCAATAATCGATTGAAATCATAAACCCCACCACAAAACTCATGTGACAATAAGGGGACACAATAACATTGAGGAAATGAAATAGGCATTGATTAATGCTACGATCAAAACAATCAAGGACACTTCCTGTTGAGACACGCACATGAGTATGTTGTTTAGTATATGTTTACATTGCAGTTTTATGAGTCAGGAAATTGCATCAGTTGTTTATGTCTTGATTTAACAATCCTAACAATAAAAAAACATTCTTTAATTTGACGTTTCATTTTTGAAATTCGATTATTCTCCCCACCCAATAAGTATTCACTGACTCAAGGTAGGACGATCAGTTGACTGATTATTCGATCAATCGCTCCAGCACTACTATCTCAGGGCTTGATTTAGTGCTTTGTTACTTGCACTGGTGCAACCCAATATTACAAAGCACAACCTATAGTCCATTTGACTTCATTTTAGACAGATGAATTGCTCACTAACACAAAATCTAATAAATGCAACAAAATCAAACTTTGCACAGTCACATGAAATCGACAGACCAATTCTGATGATTTGTCTCATAATTTTGGACACCAAAATAAAAAAGTTGTTTAACAAACGATCATTATTTTGTTTGTCACTTTTCGCTGTTTCTTTCGAAAGAGGACCACTTGCTGGTTTAACACACTACGCTGCAACTGGAATTTGGTGCAACTAGGTTTTATCTTAGGTCGCACCTTGTGCAAGTAGGTTAACATCTCTTAAATCGAGCCCTGTATCTACATATTTGATCTTTAGTGCCTCATCATGCAATTGAAAGTTCCTATGCCTTTAGCTTCACTAAACATATTAAAGGATATACTAAACCAAATCAGATTCCATAATTTAAGCACTTTATGTAGGGACCCTTCAGTGCAGACTGAATCATCTGACAGCTGTGGTTGGGTGACTTTGTGTAAGATGTGTGTGTTTAATAAATGTACATCCATCCAGTAATTAAAACTGGCCATATTTATTAATATTTGCTGCTGTCTTTTTTCTCATGATGACTAATGCTGATTGTGATCAAAGTTATTTTCAAGGGGTTGACATTTTGTGCGGAACTGGGGTTGGTCTGTTTAGCTTCCTGTACATCTGTGCACAGATGTAAATATAATAGCTGTAGATGGCATGGTTAATTTTATAAAATATATCATTACAAGTCAATGAGAAAAAATTGTTTTGTGTAACATATGAGCAATTTTAGCTTCATCATGTCTGACGCCACTCTAATCAGATACAAACCGATAAAGAGTAAAGATGCTGATCTGAAGTGAATGACTTGTGGTTATCTACTAGGCATGGTATTATGATGTTAATGTCACACTAGGCGGTTGAAATGATAAGATACCTAATCAGTTATAGTGTCAATATCACAATGACTCGTCAGTTTCATTTGTATTGATCACTGATAGGTGTTCAAATAACTGACAGATTATTCGTCAATTACACCTGGCCTTCGGCATACATGGCTTAATATTGGCGCAGCAGGTGACGTTACCAAGACGAGCAATATCCTCCAATTTGATACAAGTTATGGCTGGCTAAAAAGATAATTGACACTATCATTGATGGGAAGGAACATACTGAGAGAAACAAATAAAGGAACAGAGGAACATTCAAGCTTTCCTTTGAATAGCGCTGTGGGAGGAAATCTGAGAATAAATAAAGGAACACTGCCATGAAGTGGTGTTTCCTTATTTGTTTCCCTCAGTATATTATTGAATATCAACATGGAAATTGTGTCGGTGGTAATTTTGTACAGAAACTGTTGTAACGAAATAAAGTTTCAGTTTATACACACAATACACAAAGTTTTTTCGTTATTCATGGGTCGCTTCTAAACTGCATACAGAATCATATTTTTGTAAGTTATCGATGCATAAATATTTCACCACTTACCAGTGACAGGAAATATGTTGATTTTTTCAGACTTTTTTTTCCCTTTTTGCACCAAAGGACTTCTCCGATATTTTATCAATTTATCGGAATGTAGTTAAGTATTAATGGTCTCTATGATCTGTATCATCAATAGCCGGAATAAGATAACATGTTTAATGGAAATAATTGCCTTTCTTCTTTTTCAACTTGTTTACTTACATATGCAATGAATAAATAATGTTGGTCTATTTAGCGGACCTAGTCAGTCAACATGTTGGAATCAATAAATCTGTATATGTAGAAACCATCACAAGAATGTTATGGTGTATTAACATCAACTAACGTCATGACACATTATCTCTACTTTATCACTGGTCCTATACTTTTGAGTATTATACTTATAGAGATCAACATGGCTCCAGATATTTTGGAGCCTTTGCGTATATACTCATCATGCTAACAAGGTCCAATCCTGAAATTCTTTTGATGAGCATATATATAACAACAAGACTTGTTATTGAAGATCGGGGTTAGAACTGATCTTCACCAAC